TTACGCTGATGTTGAGGACTTTTGGTCTTCCATTCCTGGGCTTCCGAAGCCTAAAGAGGGGTTACGAATGAAACTCTACCATCTTACAGGGTCTGCGAAGGTGCTAGGGTACATACGAACCACTCTGTTCATGCCCACGGAATCAGGAGCATTCGTCAGTTTCGATCTGGAAGCTTACGTAGTCCGCAACATGCGAGTTCCACTGCTATTGGGCGAAGACTTCCAAACGACGTACGAATTAGGTGTGACTCGGTACGCTACGGGTCATTGCGACGTTCACGTTGGGCGGACGGGACGAATAATCAAGGCATCTTCAGCCCAGAGAGTAGACCTCGGATTCGAAATCAGACAGGCGCATACAATGCAGTCGTTTGTACGAGCCAAGGCCGCTCGACGAGCTAAGTGGATGAAGCCCGCTCAGGGAGACCCCCCAGTCCTCGCGGACGAAGATGCTATTATCCAACCTCACTCTGTCAAGAACGTCAGGGTATCAGCTCCCTTTGCTGGACGCGATGATTGGTTGGTGGAAAAAGTAATCATCGGCTTAGAGGATGGAGACATCCTGGCGGCCCCAACTACGTGGATCACGGCTTCTACGCCGATATTACCTATCGCTAATCCTAGTGCTACCCCCAGGATCATCAGGAAGGGAGACATAGTCGGGCACTTGTTAGATCCCAGTGGCACTTTAGATAATCCCTCCGAAGAGAGCACGCTAGCGCGCTACGTCGCGTCGGCTGATGCCTTGAGGAAAGTCATTACGGGATCCCTGAAGGCACAGGACTTGGCGGACGCCAAACCCACATCGCTGGGTCCAGACGATAAGCTGGATCAGGACGACGCTTGGGGCCCTAAAACGACAGCAGTACCTGAGGACTCGGTCCATGGGGATATCCTGGATGCAGTGAACTTGGGTCCTGACGTCCCGGAGCAATTCCAAAAGCCTTTGGCCGACATACTGCGTAAGAACGTCACAGCCTTTGGTATTGACGGCCGATTGGGAAAAGTCGCAGCTATGGTACCCATTCCCCTTAAGGAGGGTTCCACCCCGGTTTCCGTCCCCATGTACGCCGCTTCACCAGCGAAACGAGAAGTTATCGATAAGCAAATGAAGACATGGTTCGAGTCAGACGTTATCGAGCCTTCCGTCAGCCCCTGGGGTTTTCCTGTCGTGGTGGTCTATCGCAATGGCAAAGCTCGTCTGGCGGTAGATTATCGCAAGTTAAACGCGCAAACTATACCAGATGAGTTCCCCATCCCGCGCCAGACGGAAATCGTACAGGCTTTATCTGGCGCACAGGTCCTTTCCACATTTGATGCCTTAGCTGGATTTACTCAGCTGGAGATGGCTGACGAGGACAAGGAGAAAACAGCTTTCCGATGCCACCTGGGTCTTTGGCAATTTAAAAGAATGCCTTTCGGTCTACGCAATGGGCCGTCCATCTTTCAGCGTTTGATGCAGGGAGTTCTATCACCGTACCTGTGGTTGTTCGCGCTGGTTTACATCGATGACATCGTCGTGTACTCTAAATCTTGGGAGGAGCATCTCGTTCATCTGGACACCGTCCTAGGGGCGATCGCCGCTGCGGGTATCACTCTATCTCCCCCTAAATGTTTCGTTGGGTTTTCTTCTATTCTTCTGCTAGGACAGAAGGTTTCGCGATTGGGCCTGTCAACGCATCAAGAGAAGGTCCAAGCCATCATGGATCTCGCGCGCCCGACCTCCGTGTCTGACTTACAGAAGTTCTTAGGCATGGTAGTTTATTTTTCAACTTATATTCCCTTTTATTCTTTCATAGCGAAGCCATTATTCGAACTCTTGAAAAAGGGCTCTCAGTGGGATTGGCGGGCTGAGCACGAGTTGGCGTTTCAGCAGGCTAAAGAAGCGCTGTCAAACGCGCCCGTTCTGGGCCACCCTATACAGGGTTGTCCGTATCGTCTGTATACGGATGCGTCGGATGTCGCGCTAGGCGCGAGCTTGCAGCAGGTGCAACCCATTCAAGTCGGTGACTTGAAAGGAACGCCAACCTACGACCGTCTTGCAAAGGCGTGGTCCGAGAACAAGCCCATCCCTCATCTTTTTCCTATTCTAACCAAGGACGTCGTTGAGAGGCCTGCCGACGATTCTTGGGGTCCGTCTCTGGATGAGACTACGGTACACGTAGAACGTGTTATCGCCTATTGGAGCAGAACCTTCAAGGCAGCCGAGCGTAACTACAGCGCCACGGAGAGAGAGGCATTAGGCGCCAAGGAGGCCTTAGTGAAATTTCAGCCCTTTATAGAGGGAGAGACGGTCATCCTCATCACAGATCACGCCGCGCTTCAATGGGCTCGAGTCTACGAGAACGCCAACAGGAGGTTAGCGGCGTGGGGGGCAGTATTCGCAGCGTATCCAGGACTGCGCATCGTGCATAGAGCCGGACGAGTACACTCTAACGTCGACCCTTTGTCCAGACTACCACGTGTGCCGCCCCATAACTCCCCTGTTGTCGATGACATCCCAACTATAGCCCCCGACGAGAGCAAACAGGATAGAGCCCAGGCCGTCGAAGATCGTATTCACCGAGCGAGTGCGCCTCGTGCGGCGTTCACCGTGTCCTGTTGGGAGGACGTGGTAGAGCGCCGGGCAAATGCTACTTACTATGAACCGTCGGAAAGCCCAGCTCAGAGGGAAGCAGATCGATTGGCTGCCGCAGATGCAAGGACTCGCAGAGCTAATAAGCGCAGCAAATTCCCAGTTACTGAACCAGAAGTGGGAACTACGCCTGTGACGGAGGGACTCCCTTCATTAACGGAGCCTCCACCCACGGAAATAGTCGAAGAGATGGTTCCAGTCACGGAGCCCCCTCTTATCGAAGACGAGCTGCCCTTTCCGCTTGATGATCACTGGACCTACCCGATAGGAGTAAAGCCCACTTCGTCAACATTTGACGACGAATGGCTGAATAAACCTCATCTCCTCGTGGCTATGAAGCCCTCAGTAATCGCTACTTTCGCGCAGGGTTACCCACAGGACAAGTACTTCGCTCCCAAATATATAGAGGACATTCCCAATCCAAAGACAGTCATCACTCCCTCCCACTTCCGCAAAAGCAAGAATGGTTTACTCTACTTCATAGATGCGGATTGGTCCGCTAGACTCTGCGTTCCGGAATCTAGGATACATTTCGTATTGAAATGGATCCACGATTCCCCTTATGAGAGCGCACATGCAGGACCACGTCGATTCTTATCTAGGCTTCGAGAGTTGTTCTTCTGGCCCTCTATGCATAAAGACGTAATGGACTATACTAAGTCCTGCGACACCTGTCAGAAAATCAAAATTGATAGACGCGCGCAAGCCGGCAGCCTTCGACCCTCGCATATTCCAGCGAGGCCCTTCTCCACAGTCTCTCTTGACCTCATCACGGGCCTACCTTCGTCTGGTGAAGAAGGCTACACCGCTATCTTCGCCGTAATCGACAAGTTAACCAAATTTGCTATCTTCCTGCCAGTTCACGAAACTATGAGCCAAGAGCAGTTTGCAGATCTATTTGTGGAAAGAGTAGCCAATGTCTATGGTTTACCTGAGCGCATCATAGCCGACCGCGATAAGCGTTGGTCCACTGCGTTTTGGAAATCCGTAGTAGCGAATTACGGCAGTGTCATGGCTCTGTCGTCGTCGCATCATCCCCAGACGGATGGGCAGACTGAAATCCTTAATGCCACGATAGAGCAGATGCTGAGGGCGTACGTTGCTTCGGATCGCACGTCTTGGGCCAAATGGCTCAGTGTATTAAATTACTCCTACAACAGTTCTGTGCACTCATCCACGGGTTACTCTCCTCAATTCTTACTAATGGGCTATAAACCTCGGACTTCCACAGTTGGAATTACCCCCGAAGGAGACCCGGTTTCAAGACCGTTCGTGGCTAGTCAATCTGCGGAAGAGTTCATAGGCGAATTAGAATTCCACCGCGCTTCAGCCAGAGATGCGCTTGTACTAGCGCAGGAAAGACAAGCGGCAGCTTATAACAAGGGCCGACGCCCCGTGGACACACTTCAGAAGGGAGACTTAGTCTTAATCAATCCGCATACGCTCAAGCTCGTAGACGTCAAGGGTACAGGTCGGAAGCTAGTCCAGAGGACGATTGGACCCTTTGAGGTCCTAGAACAGATAAATCCTCAAGTTTACCGATTGAAGCTCCCACCTAACTATCCGATGCACCCCGTATTCAACATTGAGCATCTCAAGAAGTACCATTCTTCGCCGGATCGATTCGAAGGAAGGGAGACCCTGCCTAGTACTAGGGAATTAATCTCACATCCAGAGTACGAAGTCGAGTCAATCGTTGGTCATCGTTTAACTACGCAAAAACGGGGCAATCGACGGATGTACCTAGTTCATTGGAAAGGCCACGAGCCAGTAGACGACACATGGGTCTCAGAGTACGACCTCCGCAATGCTCCAGAGCTTACGAGAGCGTACATACGAGCCCATAATCTGTAAAGCTCGATGATATCACCCCGCCACCCATTCCTGTTTGCGCTAGTTTGGTGATTGATTGATGGATAACGATTTGCAACCACCGCCGTCCTTCTTCTTTACTTCCATCATCTTTTAATATCGCGCGGCTTCACTGCGTTGAACTAATTTCTGTACCCTTCGCGCGGCTTGCTCTGCGTTGAAACTATCCTTACACTCTGTAACCATCGCGCGGCTTGTTCTGCGTTGAAACTATCCTTACACTCCTTTATTCTTTCAATCTCTAAATCCCTTTACTTTATTGCTATGCATTCTTACGCTTCAAATTACCGCCCCACTCCAGATTCGCGTGTCACTTCTACCAGGAGGTCCAGCGCAACCGGCTACCTTGCTAGGCCATGCGTTGACTCCAGAATGATTGCGAAGTTACCTAAGTTTGAAATCCAATCACATCGGATCGTACAGCTAGGGGAAGAAGTTTGGGAACTGTGGTCTCCTAACGCACAGCAGCTTCCATTCTTACCCGGCTTGTTGGAGGACCATTTCAGCGTCGACATAGCTAGCCGTCGTTCTGACCGGCGAAGCGATGGGCATTTGGGAAGGTTTGACGCGTGCGTGTCGCCTCAGTTTGCGACTGGCCACCCAAGTTGGGCTCCCCATATTAAACGCGTGCCCACATCGCTATCGGAATGCCCTGAGTTCACCTGCATCTTAGATGTTACGGACTCGCGTAGTTCTATCCACACCAACTACATTCGAGAACTGCAACAGCGAAACTCCCGCTTAGAAGCACGCATCGAGAATCTTAGAGCCAACAGTCGTCGTGACCCTTCAATCGCCTTGGAGGATGTATGGAAGTTCTACAATCCTAACCTCAGGCCAGACGATATCAGCGACCTCCGCTCCATACGATCCTTCGACAAAGCTCTAGACGACGTGACCCTGCTACAGCGGAAATTCAAATTGAAGGCTGCGTGGATAGATTGGGTGGAGCGGCAGCAGACTACCACTTCTTGGTCTCGATCGACGAATCGTCTCCCCGAAATGGCTGATGAGTCGTACATGGGTTGTTGGATCAACGGCCAAGAGGAGGAAGAAATTGATTGGCTTCTGGCGCACCGTATCCCTTGCTTCATCGTACATAAGTTAATGGGAGACGAGTTGGATCGCCTGTTAGACGCGGGACGCGGACCAAAACACACTTCGTTCGTTCGGAACACTCCCATTGAGAATCTAAGCTCCCCCCACAATCGCATCGAAACCTTTCTACGTAGGCAACGGGTAATAATCACCGAATCGGACAACGATGACAACATCGGGAACGAAGAGCCGTCTGATCCGCCCGAGGCGTTATATGCCTCCTTCTCCCTGTTCCATAAAGAATGGTCGAGAGGAGGCCCTGCTCCCATTGCCTATGCGGTGATTCCTAATCCGACCCCTCCTACCCAGCACGCATCAAGTACTTCCCCCTTACTAGGGCTGGACTTCTCTAGCTATGGAGCTGATCCTCTCGATATGGTAGAAGTGGACCCTCGTCGTGTAGCTTGGATTCGACCCCCTCCAGTCATGAGTCCTCTGAAAGGCAAATGGGAGAAATGGGCGGAGAAAAATGTGGAGGGTGAATTATTTGTGACAAGAGTGGGACGTTCTTACGCTGACTTCCACGGTGTCTCATACTTCGACCGATCTCGTAATCGGGAAATCATCCTATTGAGCGACGCACCGATACTTCCTGGAGCCATCTCGAAGACCGAAATATTCGGACTCCCTTGTCCGCAACACTTACATTTCGCAGAAGTACCCCAGAATAAGACACCGCGACCCGCCAAAGCGTCGTCATGGCTGTACTTGACTAAGGACCCCACTCCTGGGGATGTGGGCATGCAAGCAAGGCGTCCTCATGCGGAGGATCTTCCTTTCAAGGACGAATTCAGGACTGGCGCGTCTACTCAACCATCACCACCACCCAGCCCTGGTAATCCAGCGCCACCGCCTCTCCCTTTGCTCTTCAATCCTCTCGACTCCCCGGAGATTGGGGGCGTTCCAGATAGCGAGCGCCCTGTTTCTCCCGTGGACTCCTTGTTGGGATCCCCCCCGGAAGTAGATTGGGGCACAGACCTTGACGAGCCAATGGGACCGCACATACCATCCGAGGCTGCTGAAGACGTAGAGATGGGTACTGTGGACCTGGGAGACGTGCCCTCTCCTCTTCGGAGCCTTCCTAAGTCACCGACAGTCCCACCCCCTACTGTATCCGTTCCCAAACAGCCTTCGCCAACTCCCTCCCCAAGACATCGAGCCGCCTTCGAACCCTCAACGAGTGCGCCCGCACCTGGTGCCCCTCGCTGGAGCCCTTCTCGACGTGGCGGTCGTAAGCATGCGCGTCCGTTATCTCGCTCTCCAACTCCTCCCCGAAGGAGAGGAGATTCTTACCGTCCTCGACCATCCCACAATGTTCGGGAAAGCAACCGTCCCCGCTTCCAACCGCCGACGCCCACTCCTAACGCTTGGTCTACAAGCAATAACCCTTCCAGCCCTTGGGTGCAGTTGCCTAACGCAAACCCTTGGTCAGCTCCCAACACGTTCTCCGCTGGTTTAAACCCGACACCGTGGGGCCCCCCTCCTGGTTATATGCCTTGGGGTATGAACCCATCAGCCCCTCCGCCGTGGTCCGTTCATTACCCTGGTTACTATCCCTCAGAGCATGCTTCACTATCGGGTTGGCCCCCTCTGGGATTTCCTATGATGCCGCAACACAACTGCGCCTCCTGTCATAATTGCGCCTCTTGTGGTCGTCCTTCAACGTCGACTGGAGAAGGGAACTCGTCTCAGCATCCTTCTGCACCGATAGCGCCATCATTATTAGGTCGTCTCCGATCGCCATCCGCGGTAGACTCGCTTCGCATCGAACCAGTTCCCTTAGCGCAACGATTACGGGATCCAACGCCTTTAGTTGAGCGTTTACAACCACCTGCCGCTTCCTTAATGCAGCGAATTCAAGGGCCACCTATGGAATTCGTTCAAGGGTCCTCTTCCAGGCCTCTACAAAGTATTCCGCCAGTACCACTGCAACAACGGCTGGCTGTGAACTTGGAAGACGGGGAAGACGATTTCCCAGAGGAGGATAGGCCCACACCCACTAGTCGTGCACGAAGGAGTCGTAGATCAGGCAGGAAGCAGCATGAGGAGGACCAGCGAAGGATCGAGGAAGGCAAGAAACCGGCAGGAAAGGGCAAGAGGAGGGATCGGCGACGGTAGGAGTCATTCAAGTCTGGATAATTCGAGTCTGCGCGCAGGGGGGCACTGTAATACGGAGTTGAGGATACGCGCAGCCCCGCTTACTAATACTTGACTTATATCTGTTTGTATTGGCATTAGCACACTTAGACATTAACCATTATCATCTTGCTACCAAGCTTGCGTGATGAGTCTTTGGTGTCCACTGCTGGTAAGACCAAAGGGCGAGCTCCCTACATAATGCTCCCTCCTCCACAGGATACGAGAGCCCTCCTCTGGGTTAACGAGGGTCCACCTAGGACTTCTAGGCAACCCTAGGAGACGAGCGCGACCACAACAGTCGCGTTCTCTCCTATTACTTCTATTCGTCATTCTACACTACGACATTCTACTATGGTACTACGAGACTTCCCTCGCACGAAGTCCCCGCACGCTCTGAGGTTTCACATTGCGTGGTGATCCTCTTTGCATTTGCATTGGGATACATTCAGGTTGGTCACACATCATTGCCTTCAAAGATTGAAGGTGAGCGTGATCCCTCGACTTCAACGCTGAACGTGGGCAGGGTGGCCGGCAGCTCCGCCTTAGCAAATCGATAGTAAGTAATGCACCTCACAGTCCGAGTCCAATTGACTGATTATCTGACATAAAATGAATTCCTCCAGAGAGTTGATCACCGTGGGTGATACTGGGCCACTGCAAATTGGGTCGCAGACACCGCCTTGCACAGCCGTTTCTACTGCGTCTTAAAGAGAGCGCTCTTGGCCGGTCTAGGATCAACACTGCCCTTGATGCCCCGAGAACTGCGAAGAAAACTGGTAATCGTTGGAGATCATGAGACGGGCAAGGTTCTGTGTCTTCTTCCTCAAGTGATTTCTACCTCACCTGACGAAATTCATGGCATTCAATAGACAAGTTTGTTCACTGCCTTTGCACTCGGTCGTTTTCCCGAAGTGAGGTAGTATTCCGTTCCGTCGAACGAATGTTGAATCGTTGTCCACTAGAAATACGTTCCAAGTATATTTGAGGCTTTCGTAGCGGATCGCAAAGTCAACGGCTACGATGTTGAGTTGGCGCTGTGGGATACTATGGCTGGAACACCAGATTTTGACCGTATCAGGCCACTGAATTACCCCGACACTCATGTCGTTCTCCTGTGCTTTTCGGTCGATTCCCAAGAATCATTTGATGGCATCGAAGAACATGTATGTTTTTGATACAACCCATTCTCCATTATCTGATGTTGTCAGTGGATTAAAGAATTACGACATTTTCTTCCTTTCATACCCATTCTTCTCGTAGCAACGAAAACAGATCTGCGTTACGACGCGCAGGTGGTCAACAAGTTAAGTCATTCAGGTCGACACCTCATCACTCCGGAAGAGGTGCGTATTCATAGCGTCTTTCCAACTTCAAAGATTAATCCACCGATTACATCTTTGTGTAGGGGAGCATGTTGGCTCGAAAAATCGGAGCAACTCATTATTGCGAGACCTCAGCGAAGCAGATACTTGGAGTCCAAGACACATTTCATCGTGCTATGCAAGCTACCGTAAGGGAAGAAGAGTCAGGTTGTTGCCTTGTAATGTAGATGTGAGAGCGGAAGGGAGGGCGAGTGTCCGCACGCGCTTTTAAACTAGGAAGAAAGGGTCGTTCCGTTGTACGGAAATAAGTAGTCGATGAGAGAGTGACGACTCCATGAGGGTTGACGCCAAAAATGTATGTCAAAAGAGGATTAGGCGAAAGTACTGCTGAACCGGTAAGTAAAGATTACACAAAAAATTCAATGCAAAATACACCTACGACGGTATACATAGATGATTGAGAAAAAGTTGCGTAAAGCTCCTTACCTTCTGCACCAGTTCTGAGAAGTTTGGCGTGGAGGGGTTTGGCGTACTCTGAGAGAGTAGCAAGTAACTGGAGGTAAAAAAGGCTTTTATAAGACCTTCAATTCTTTGCCCTCGAAGAACAAAAACCGTTGGAAAACGGGAAGATGGATGAGAGATGGATGTGCTGGTTATGTGTATTTGATGGGGGTTGTTTGTGGGTTGTTTACGTTTCTGAACCGTCACATGGCTCATTTTTCTACTTACCATCATCACCATCCGAAATGGCACCGGACAAGAAAAAAGAGCGTCGAGCAGCGCTGGTGAGAACTTTTACCTTTTGTTCCTGGTCTAGGACTGAACTGCGGAACGTATTTGACAGACCGCTGTCGCTGGAATTTTTCCGCAGCATATTACGCACTCTACGCGGCATGGACTTTCAACCCTATTCTACTTATAAAATGCTCACAGGGGATAACCGATATGAAGTTCTATCGTCATTATTGGTCCGCTCATGAAGATTGTCATCATAGGCGGCGGTATTGGAGGTCTCGTCACCTACCATGCTTTGCGCAAACACCTTTCGGAAACCGATCCCTCTATCTCTGTAAAACTCGTGGAGTCGCATCCCTCTTTGTCAAATACTTCGCGCGTGATTGGTGGTGGTCTTGGACTCGCACCAAATGGCATGCGCGCTATTGCCTCTATTGCCCCTGAGGCAGCCGCCTACATCAACGAGCGTGGTTTTCTTGGCGACACCATGTCTTTCCGTAATTCAAACGGACGCTTACTGGGGAGGTTTAACAGCGGTACGATGAGAAGATATGGGTTTGGGATGCTGATGATTCGTCGGGCTGTCGTGCACGAGGCTCTCATTCCTGGCTTGCGTGAAGAAGATGTGCACTGGGGAATGAAGGTCGAGGGCGTCAAAGAAGTCGGAGAGCAGGTGCTAGTTGAGTACGAGGACGGTACTACGGAACTGGCAGATCTCGTCATCGGCGCAGATGGCGTTCGCAGTGTTGTTCAGGATTCTCTCTTTGACGGGGCTTATAAGGCCACCTACGAGTGCGTATGGGTTTCGAGATATCCCTCACATCAATCTCATTGGATTGTAGCGGTCTCACAGGCGTTGGCGGTTTTATACCCTTTTCCGACCTCTCTCCCAGGCTTCAAGAGAGTTTTGACACCCACGGTGTCACCATGACCTTTGGAAGAAAGGGGTTCTTTGGGTACTCCCTCTGCGTACCCGCATCCACCCCTTCCCCTTTCATCCAATGGTGGTCCATCTATGAAGCTCCCTCTATGCCCAATCGCGAGAAGCCCAACAAGGACGCCATCAAAGCCCAGCTCCTCGCCCGCCACAGTTCCTGGAAATCACCATATGATTCTCCCGACTCAGGGGTATACAAATCCATCATCGAGCTCGGTTGCCGCGACTCTGAAAGGCCACAGAATCCCGAAATGCAAGCCATGTTGGCGTTCGACATGAACGTGCTCGTCCTGCCGCGATATGTCACGCCGCGCCTCCCGTGCTGGACTAACGCTGGATCGAAAAACGAGAGGGCTCAAGGGAGAATTGTCTTACTTGGTGACGCAGCGCATACGATGCCTCCTGATTCCGGGCAAGGGGTCTCTTGTGCGGCCGAGGACGCTGTTGTCTACGCTCTCCTCTTGAAGCACTACTATACAGCCCCGGATGGACTGCGCAAGGCTGCCAAGGCGTATGAAAGGATGCGTATGCCACGGGTCCATCGAATTCTGGACGTAGCCAAACGGAATGGCGATGCGAAGAAGGAGATGGGGTGGTTTGCGCAAAAATTCAGAGATACAGCCATATGGCTACTGTGTTAGTGAAGCCCATTCGCGTGATTCTGCGCCGCACTCATGATTTTCCTCTAGGTAAACTACCGGAGTCTATACATGACTACGCTTTTGCTTATGATTCAGAGAAAGCAGTTGCAGAATTTCTGGCAAAGGAGAATTTGTGACCAGTCACCAACGGGGCCGTCTTCCTCTTATACCCATTGCGATTTCCGATTCCGAGATAATACCCGGCAGGCACTCCATTCCGAGGCATCTAATGCTTAATCTTGGTTAACTTTGCCATCTGTTTGGGACAACCTTACTGTTCCGTTTGTCCCCCTTATACTGTACACGTCTTGTCCTTGCTGAGCAATTTTCTTCGCGTCCTTCATCAGTATCACATTGGAAGCGCTCGTGGTTGAAGGTATCATCCGAATCAACTGAACTGCTACCTCGCATAAAGTCTTCAGATGTGAGCCAACACACCGAAGCATATGATCAACGTCTAAGAGTCACCTTGCTAACCTTCCGCACCCGCAGATGATCTACATCATTGGTCGAGTCATCTTTTTAAGTTCTCAAGCCAGGCACATTCGCACGACCAAGGCTGGTTACTGCCAAGCGTCAACCATCGCTTTTCGACTTGTGACCACCATTCGTCCCCACCAACAACTTCGTTTCAGCCATGTCTGAATCGGACAAGGGCGAAAAGGTATCGAAGAAGGGATTCTTCTTTCGTCGAAAGGCCACGCGGCCAGTCGTGGAAGAGAAAGCTGTGGACTCGACAGAGAGCACGGAGGAAGTCAAGCCGGCAAAACAAGAGGTGCCTACCATATCCTTCACTCAGTTATTTCGGTGTGTCCTGGGTTTTACTCCATCCAGTTGTTGTGCTAACTGTTGGCATAGTTATTCTACCAAATTTGAACTATTCCTCGATGCGATAGGCTTAGTAGCGGCAGTAGGGGCGGGTGGTGCACAGGTCGACTCCAGAACAACCTGTTTTACATGCCCGACATCCTAACCTCGACTCCACAGCCTCTTATGTCCATTCTCTTTGGAAATCTCGTCGAAGACTTTGTCACGTTCACGACCGTGCTTCTGAGGGCTGAGCAAGGCGATGAGGCTGCTAAGCAGCAATTACCGACAGTCGCAGCCAACTTTCGTCGTGTCGCTGCTTTGGATGCCACGTATTTCGTCTATCTTGGTCGGTAGTTCTATATCCATTTCTCTCGCGCGTTTTCGTTGATTCAATCGTTCCAGCCATCGGACTGTTTGCCTGTACATTCACCTATCTGTATATCTGGGTCTACACCGGCGAGGTCAACAGCAAACGTATTCGTGAATACTATTTGAAAGCAGTCCTTCGCCAAGACGTCGCCTACTTTGATGATGTGGGCGCCGGAGAGGTTGCTACCAGGATTCAAACAGACACCCGTGCGTTTTACATGATATATTCCATCTCTCTGTCTTATCTTCCCCTAGATTTGGTACAACAGGGTATCTCCGAGAAGGTCGCGCTCGCGGTCACCTTCGTGGGCGCCTTCATTACGGGATACGTTATCGCATACGCCCGTTCTTGGCGGTTGGCCTTGGCGCTTACATCTGTCCTGCCCGCTTTAGGCCTCACGGGCGGCGTGATGAACAAGTTTGTTTCGAGCTACGTTCAGTTCGTTTGAGCTTCAATCCACATGACCGGTCAAATTCTGACAACAATCTAGGTTATCTCTCAAGCATGTTGCTGAGGGCGGTACTTTGGCAGAAGAGGTCATTTCTACGATCCGTACCGCTCAGGCATTTGGCACCCAGGGGAAGCTATCTGAGACGTATGACTCCCACGTCAATGGGGCCCTTTCGTCTGATCTGAAGACTTCGTATTGGACTGGTGGGGGTGTCGCTGTCATGTTTTTCATAATTTACTCCTCATATTCCCTCAGTGAGAGTTTTTTAACTGAATGATGTTGATATATGTTCACACTCCGGCAGCCTTCAGCTTCGGCACGACCCTTATCAATAGCGGACATGGTGCGAATCTTCTTCTCCGGTCAAACTTCTCGCTGACCCCGCCGTAGCCACACCGGGCGAAGTCATTAATGTATTCCTGGCCATTCTCATGGGTTCATTTTCAATGGCTCTCTTAGCCCCTGAGATGCAAGGTCTGTCAATAGAGTCTCGAAAGCCCGCGCCATGTACTCATTAGAAAACTAAGCTATCAACAACGGTCGCGGGGCAGCAGCAAAGCTCTATCAAACCATCGATCGTGTGCCCGAGATCGATTCCGCTGATCCTAATGGTCAGAAACCGGAAAATGTGAAGGGCGAAATCGTGTTTCAAGACGTGGAATTCAGCTACCCTTCGCGACCGACAATTCAAGTTACGAAAGGTTTGTCATTGAAGTTTGAAGCTGGAAAAACAGTTGCTCTTGTGGGCGCTTCAGGCTCGGGCAAATCGACTATTGTCTCTCTCATTGAACGGTTCTACGATCCCACCGCCGGCGTTATCAAACTTGACGGTATCAACATCAAGGATCTCAACTTGAAGTGGCTGAGATCACAAATCGGATTGGTTTCTCAGGAGCCCACGCTGTTCGCCACCAGTATCAAGGCAAACGTCGCTCATGGCCTCATCAGCACGAAATTTGAGCACGTCTCAGACGAAGAAAAGTTTGCGCTCATAAAAGAGGCCTGCATCAAGGCTAACGCTGATGGTTTTATTTCTGAGCTACCCTCGGGATACGATACCTTGGTTGGAGAGCGCGGATTCCTTCTTTCCGGCGGGCAAAAGCAGCGCGTCGCTATTGCTCGTGCGATTGTTTCTGACCCCAAGATATTACTACTGGATGAAGCCACCAGCGCGTTGGACACGCAATCGGAAGGGGTTGTGCAAGACGCGCTCGATAAAGCCGCTGCAGGTCGGTCATTTCCCCTACTACCGTCTGCCTGGTGCTAAACTTTGCAGTATGCCAGGTCGCACCACAATCGCTATCGCACACAGGCTCTCAACCGTCAAGGATGCGGACGTCATATGCGTCCTGAGCGAAGGCCTTGTGGTGGAACAAGGGTCGCATGACGAACTTCTTCAAGCAAACGGCGCCTATGCAGGCCTCGTTCAAGCTCAGAAATTGAAAGCACAGGACGATACAGACATCGAGGACGTAGCCCAAACCGCAGCACCTGAAGAACAAGTTGCAAACAAAGAGATATCCATTAGCCGCGTCGATACTGGTCATTCTCTTGCTAGTGAGATTATCAAGCAGAAAAGCAGTTCATCGGCGGATTCGAAACTGAAAGACCTTTCCATATTTATGCTTTTCGTTCGTATGGGTCGCCTCAGTCGAAAGCAGTGGAAGAACTATGTCATCGGAACAATTTTTTCAATAAGTAAGTTACTCGTCTTAAGCTGGTGATCTATCGCCCTGACTCTATCCTCGCAGTGGCGGGTGCCGTATACCCCTCCTTCGGTATTGTATATGCTGACGGCATTGTTGGATTTTCTGCCACCGACAACCACGCCCGTCGTGTTGCAGGCGACCGCAACGCCCTCTGGTACGTCATTATCTCGGGCGAATCTTTATCTTGCAATTGCTGACCCCTGCTCCCTCATAACTCTAGGTTTTTTATTATTGCTTTACTTTCCACCCTAGTTCTGTTTATCCAAAACAGCTTGTTCGCATCTGCGGCTGCCAAATTAACAGCGAAACTCCGCTCTCTGAGTTTCAAGGCCATTCTTCGCCAAGATAGTTTGTATTTTGCGCTATTCCGTTCCGAACCTGGCTTACGGATTTTATCAAGTTGAATTTTTCGACAAGCCTGACAACACTGTACGTAGATCAACATCTGAAATTTATATCTGACGCAGTTTGTCCCTGATAGACTGGAAGTTTGACTGCTGGCTTAAGTGATAACCCCCAGAAAGTCAAAGGACTCGCTGGCGTCACTTTGGCGACAATTATTCAAAGTATCGCGACGCTGATCGTCGGCTCCATCATTGGCTTGGTTTACTTCTGGCAGGTTGGACTTATTGCCATTGGTGAGTCCCCATGTCTCTGCTTTCGTCAGTATCTGAAGCACCTTATCAGCCTGTACACCTCTTTTGGTATCGACTGGATATATTCGCTTGGTAAGTTCTTTATCCACATAGCCTGTAGAAATTCGCTCATCTCCGAACCCATAGCGCGTTGTCGTCATGAAGGATCAGACTAACAAGAAAGCTCACGAAGCCTCTGCCCATCTTGCATGTGAGGCAGCTGGAGCCATTCGAACGGTTGCGTCGTTGACTCGTGAAGATGATTGTTTGGAGGCGTACAGCAAGAGTCTAGAAGTACCGTTGAGGAAATCCAACCGAACCTCATTCTGGAGCAACCTCCTTTTCTCAGGTGCCCAATCCATGGGTTTCCTCGTGATTGCTCTTGTTTTCTGGTTCGGTTCAGGCCGCGTTTCGCGCCAGGAGGCTTCGACGAAGGCATTCTTCGTGGGATTAATGGTGCGAACGACGTTTATTCATATCGATCCGCAATGACGTATATTTCCACCTCAGAGTACGGTACTTGGAGCTATCCAAGCTGGGAACGTATTCACCTTCGTGCCCGATGTCTCCGCGGCGAAAGGGGCTGGCTCCGCCATTATAAGACTTCTCGACGCGGTCCCTGACATAGACGCAGAGTCAAGGTCTGGAAAGTCCGTAAATCCTGAAGGCGTTGAAGGCCACCTTCGTCTTGAACGTATCCATTTCCGATATCCCACAAGACCTGCGGTTCGCGTTCTTCGTGATCTCTCATTAGAGGTGGAACCAGGTACTTACATCGCGTTGGTGGGGGCTAGCGGTTCAGGGAAAAGCACGATGTACGACATTTCGATTCATGAAGTTCATAATTATCTCACAATGGGCCTAGTATTCAACTTATTGAGCGCTTCTACGACCCTCTGGCTGGGGATATATATGTTAGTTGCCTCTATCGCTTTCCAGACCTTCTTTCAAGTTTCAACTCTGCTTATTGTCAATAGCTTGACGGCGAACCGATTACAGAATTGAACGTCCAAGAATACCGCAAGAATATAGCCTTGGTCTCTCAAGAACCCACCCTCTATGCAGGAACTATCCGCTTCAACGTCCTACTCGGCGCAATCAAACCCCATGAAGAAGTGACTCAAGAAGAATTAGAAAAAGCCTGTAGAGACGCCAATATTCTGGAATTCATCCAATCGTTACCCAAGTAGAAATTCGCTGCTCCTTCATCAAACTTTGAATGTTAATCCAACCACAACAGGGGTTTTGAGACAGAGGTGGGTGGTAAGGGCTCGCAGTTGTCTGGAGGTCAGAAACGTAAGAAATCCCCGTCCTTTACACGAGTTTTGCGTTTGGTTGACCTACCTCTCCCGTTGCAGAACGAATCGCTATCGCGCGGGCCCTCCTCCGGAATCCCAAGGTTCTCCTACTAGATGAGGTCAGCCCACGCCGCTTTCCACAGAAAAACCCAATTAACATCTTGCAATAGGCGACCTCAGCCCTTGACTCGGCTTCCGAGAAAGTCGTCCAGGCCGCACTCGACCAAGCAGCACAAGGGAGAACAACGATTGCAATTGCCCATAGATTATCAACGATCCAAAATGCAGATAAAATGTTTGTTGTATAGCCGCCTTTTTCTGCCATGGTTAACTGATGTGCGATACAGATACTTCATAAAGGAGGGTAGAGTCAGCGAGGCTGGAACACACGACCAACTTCTAACGAAACGCGGTCATTACTACGAGTACGTACAGCTACAAGGTCTTAAGTAAGGTAGACAAAGGAGGACTTGAATCAATCAGTAATTCATCTTGACGGCGAGACCCCTCTTAAGGGAACCAGCACACGTCAGGAAGACTGCTCGAGAGTCAACGCCTGACAAGAAACATTGGAATGAGAAGGGGATGTCCGACAGTAGGAAAGCAACCCCCTAAGTTAGTAAGGGAAGGTGAAAGTGTTCCAACAGGAAGGAAGACCACAAGGAGGAAGACGGCGAGACAGATAACATGCTGCCTAGAGCAATAATGGGAAGGGTAGGAAAGAAACTAGACTAGCGAAGGAAGAAGGGACAAGTACTCCAACAAGAAGCATGTTTCATTCGGTAACGGAGCTTTGTGAAATGGTAAGAGTGGGTGGTAACGGCAGAGGGCTGAAACACCCCAACAAAGAGACTAGGAACTGAAAGGCATGGAAGTCGACAGATTCCGGAGCACTGTGAGAATGGAAAAAAAGCAAATCCTGACGATAGGAATTGCGGAGAGGTACTAAAGGACAAGGCGCAAGACGCTGATCAGGAAGACGGAGAGGCAGCGGAAACCGGCTGCGAGACAACCACAGTTCTGTTACGCAGCTTTGTGGGAAAGAAACCCCCAACGATAGAAAAGGCGGAGACGCACAGCACCAACAAAGCGAACGATAATGAGGAAGATGGAAGGCATCAGAGTGCCTTCTGTTACGAAGCTTCGCAGAACGAAAACTTCGATGGTGGGAAAGGCAAAAGGGGCACAACATATGCGTTGAACGAATGCGCATGATGAAGACGGAGAGGCAGAGTCGACAGACGACATCCTGCCACTCCGGACCTTTGTATAAGTAGTAGGAAGAAGTCCCGGAGTCATAGAAGGTAAGGGCGCACAAGTAGATAGGGAGAGGTGTCGGAGTCGATAGGTGACATCCTGCCATTCCGCAGGCTCGTTTGAAGGGTAGAAGAAGTCCTGAAGTTGGTGAAGGCAGAGGGGCATGGTACCAACGAGGCGCGAAATGACGGCGACTAGGATTGAAAGGGGTCGGAGGCGACAGACTTCGGGCTTTGTCTGTGCAAAAGGATGGAAACCGTGACAATAGGAATGCCGGGGGGGCACTAATGGACAAGGCCAAGATGCTGGGACAAGGTCAAGATGCTGATAAGGAAGGCGGAGAATCGATTGCTGGACAACCATATTTCCTTCGGTTATGGAGGTTTGTAGGAAAGAAACCCTGATGCCGCATGGGAAAGGCGAAGATGCGAAGATGGAAGGCATCGGAGTCGACTGCAATGGCTGTTACGCCGCTTTGTAGAAAAGAAACAGGGCGTATTCAAGGCAAAGAGCTCAAGATGACGATGAGGAAGAATGAAAGGCATTGAAAGCCGACTGCGACACTTCCAATGATGAGGGAGATAATGATTGAAAGGCACCGTGCGATATAAATGTTCCCTTCCGCCATGGAATCTTTGAAGGAAAGTAACCTAGGCCATGAAAAGGCGGAGGACCACAAGGCGCAAGCTGACTTTGTAGAAAAGAAACAGCCGACGTAATCAAGGCAAAGAGCGCAAGATGACGACGAGGAAGATGCAAGGCATTGGGAGCCTACTGCGACACTTCCAGTGATGAGGAAGATTGAAAGGCACCGTCCAACAATCACGTTCCCTTCCGCCATGGAACTTTGAAGTAAAGTGACCTAAGGCTGGAGAAGAGGAGGGCCAAAAGGCGCAAAATAATGACGATGAAGGACGCAGACGTGAGAGTCGACCGTGAGGAGAGTCGACCGCGAGACTCCCACGTCTTAGAGAAACCTGGGGGCTGGCCAAGGCAGAGAAGGCGCAAGATGAGGGAGAGAGAGATGCAGCGGGGCTGAGATGTTCATCTTTCGATCCATTACTGAGCCCGAGGATGACGAAGTGGAGGTCCTCCATGTATTAGACTGACTGATAGAAGCAAATCAACGTAGCATGCACGTGAAGAAGTGCTTTTCAATGAAATTAAGACTTCTGGAAAGAAAGGAACGACCATGGGCATCAGTACCTAAGCCATGGCGGGATGGATAAATAGAATAGACCCCACATACCCAGGTAGCCAGCGCAAAACGTTCCCAGCTAATCCCTCTCGTCCGACTCCAGCCTACTACCCTGGCACGAATCTCACTACCTCCCAGTCAGTCTTGACACCTCCACATAAAACTAAAACGCTGGCGCCGGGAGCCTAACATGACATGCGGTCTTGAGACGCAGACCATCCCGAAGCATCCAGCAAAACTCCAAGACGTTGGCCCATCGGCTGTCTGGAAGGCATGTACATCCCGCAATTCGCCCTCCAAGTCCAAGCTTCACATCAACCACCGCAAAAGTTGATACGTGGAAACGTCTCAAGGACGAAAAGCCCTGCGGCGGAAAAGGGGAGGGACGGAAAGGATAGAATGTACCCAACGAGGTTGCACGATGGTGATCCTCATTAAGCTGGGGTTTGCGATGATAGACCAAGGTGGAGTGGAGGGGTGAACCGAGGGCGACTTGGGGAAATTTGAGGCTAGTGAAGGATGGACAACGACACGCGCCTTCCAACGACGATGACGATGAACTGCCTTTGAGCAAAAGCAGGTGGGACATCGCTCAAACTTATGAAAGGTAAGGAATCAATAACGATAGGCTTAGCAACGATGAAGACCACCTACCTCCAAGCCCAACACCACCAACATGATACACTGATAGAGATTCGCAAAAAGAAAGAAGAAAACGATGCTATATGATCGAGTAAATGCGTTGTTCTTTGTCGTTATGAGACTTGGTTGGAGCTCCGGCCCGAGTCCGAGTGGAAACGTCGGGATGTTGAGTTGAGGATTTGGATTGAGTGTAAGGGTCATGGTTCGTTTCGGGGACAAGAATGTACATTAAAATGATGGGCCAGAGCTCCGGGTACAGCTCTGTCCATTGTTGAAAGGTGAATTTTGAACGTTGGATGTTAAACGTTGAACATTGAACGCTGATATTTGCCCAGCCACCTCACAACTCTCTGCCGCCGTAGAAGCCGTCCGCCCTCTTTCTCTCCGTTCGGGCAAATCTCCTTAACGATGATGATAGTCCGCATGAACTCCGGATGATAGTTTGCATGAACTCCGGTCGTTTAGGAAGAGGATTGTGCTAGCGAAATGGCCATTGCTTTTGATGTCGTAACCTTGATGTGTACCACAGACGGCCTTTCCTCGAGACCGAAGTATATGCGCCTACATCGTCCTTTAGCCCCCCGACCTTCCAAAATTAAAAATTCCTGCCGTCGCCTGCCTTGTAGAACCCGCAAAGTTAGAACGTGTCACCGGAGGAAATCACCCTCGTACCTGACACTTCCCGTCCGCTACCCCTCGAGAACGTTCAAGTCTATCCCCTTGAAGGGCACCAAGGTGGCCGATTCCGAGCCACAACCACCTCAATGGCGGATTCCAGAAATGAGGCCTGAGTGCGATCCATCTGGGTCACGCAGTTCGGGCCAAGGGCGCTTGCGTCGGTAAATCCTGGGTACTGTTTGATACTCCAAAGTCAGCAGTCGGAGTGAACGTGATATAACCCAGAGAGCCTGGCGTACCTTTCAACTCGAAAAAGCCAGGCTAAGAGCGACGTCGAAGACGATGGCCAAGGAGGGAGAGGTTGTGATCAACTTCAAGGATTTGACTTTGTCGGATCAAAAATCTCATTCAACAAGAAACTCCGACTCAATATTCCTGCTTGCATCCTCCCCATTCTTCAAGAGTGACTTGATCCCGCTTGTGCTTCAGTCCACGTCGAACTGACCTATTTTACGATTTATTAGACGGCAAAGTTCGGGAATGACATAGATCGCACGTTCTTATAAGCATTCTTTTGACAAACATTTCCCCTTTCTTTTCAGCAAGACTCCGAAGCGTAACGAACGATGAAATCTACATCGTTCAACCACCTCGCGTTGACGGGCCTAACATTCGAATTCGGACCATCCATCCAACACCCCTGAATCCCTCTTCTGCGGGCCCGGCACCCCTTGAAAGGATAAATGCAAATCCGGATACGTGTATTTCACGAATAACAAAGGGGTGGAGGATAAATATGTTTTGGTGGTACGCCTTACTTGTTTTCTTTAACCCCTTAGAATCCAACACTGAAGATAAGTACCGCATAGAGTACAAATGTAAATTGAGGTGAGCAAGTGCGGATTTTCGTCCCCATCTCATAAGCTGTACAGTCGCGGACAAACAAAGACAACAATTTCAGTAGCTTGGGAAGAAATGAATACTAGAGGCTGACACTTAGCAGCGGCAGCAGGCACCTTGCTTGCTGACAAATACGCTGCTTTGCACCAATACAATGTGACTTTTTTTTCGTAACAAAGGAAACAGTGTTCAAGAGCTATAGTGCTACATAGTTATGTATATAAACATTGGAGGCACTAAGAAAGAGACGATGATATCATGTTTTGAAAAGACCAGTTGTTTGCACCGGTTTGCTCGCTCGCGTGCGCCATATGCAAGAAAAGAGCCCCATGGCCCGTAGAAAGTTTGTTTGTTCATGCTTGCCCGCTCGCGTGCGTGATATGCAAGAAAAGACCCCCATGGCCCCTGGGTAGTTTGTTTGTACCTGTTTGGTATTTATGACCTTGGGAGACCTTGACAAGCAAGGTGATTTTGACAATCTGACTTCAGATTCGAACTCAGGATGCGAAACTACGTCCAAAAACACCCCTCCAAAGTTTTTCCCACGAGGGATTGGGTTGGCCAAAATTTTTGACAAGTTTTGTCGTTTCGTAGGGGTCTTCAACAGGTCTTGGGACCCCCCCTGGCAGGCTCCCAATGCCGGTGGTCATTTAAAAATTGAGTGGCACTTGCTAAACATTGTAATTCTGATCAGAAGTTAATAATATGCATGTGTTGAAGGTGGGGAGGGGAAGGGGGTCAACAGGTTGAGGGTCCGTGGGGGTGGGAAGACCCTGAGTTGCCATTTTAGGTGATTTAAAATCATTTTTTTCTACAAGAACAGCTCGTCAGATTTTCCCCAAACTTCAGGATCAGATACAGAATTGAAAAAGGAGTCGATTGCGCTATTTTTCATAATTTTAAGGGTTCATTCAGGGTCCGGCCAATATTTTTGGGCTAAAATTTCCCATTTCATTGATTTCGAAAAATCGGCTCGTGTAAATCAAAGCGTTGGGTCCTAATCTCCACGTTTCTGCAATAAAAAGTAATATTGAGGGTTGTGCAGGGTCCCCATCTCACAATCACCAAAATTGTTGTCTTTGTTTGTCCGCGACTGTACCGCGTGTGAGAGCGACGTGCAGGGTCGCACAGAGGCTATATTTAGGCGTTCCCTTTATATCGACAACTTGAACTTATCCAGAGCTCTGCCTGTGCCATCTGTAAAGCGTAATCATGTGAGTGGCCATTTTTTTACGAATGAAACGGTGGTATACGATTCGTAGCTCACGCCGCCAGTTGCTTCATATCTACATAGTATATATCAGGCACACCGAACCAACACCGAACAAAAATCCGGAATGATGGGGACCTCATCTGCCGTTATTCCATTTCCATATAAACAAAGGAGTCGTTGGTGGTCGAGGCTTCAGTGACTTTTGGGCCTTTTTTTTTCCCTTTCAGCTGCCCTTTTGAACTTTCACTCCTCTACGAAGATGCGCTTCTTCCTCACCATCTTCACCCTCCTGATCGGCGGTACCATGCTCACGTCTGCGATGGTAGCCCGCGCTCCTACACCATCCAACAATCCTTGTGTCTACACGTGCCCCCTCAAAGACCTCAACAACAAGGCATTGACCGTTCATGATGAAACCACCGACCCTATTTACTGTCAATATAATACGGCCACCCACTCCTGCTTGTACAGCAAGGTTTGATACACACGCAACTCGCATCGTCTATTTTTTACTAAAAATTTAACTAGACCACAGGATTGTTGACGGCTGACAACGACGGTGGGAAGTGCCCTTCCACAGCCGTCTGCTCGACATCCTCTCGTCGTCGTCGTAATGCTCTTCCTCAGTCCCCCCGTCTGCGAAACTCTAAACGCCAAGTGGATACATCTCCGTTGAAGATTAGAAGTCAACTTGGGGCTGCCAAACGGGCTAAAAGGTCGGTTTAGATGGTGCCAAAATCCTATGGTGAGTTGTGCTACTTTTCCAGTCTCGCATTTGATTGATAGAGGACTAGATGTCGGGGCCCCTTGGACGATATACATACCATGGATATTTACACCTACTTTTGCCAATCGCGGCTTCACACCACATCCCTGGATGCCTTCCTTTTATTACGCGGATTTTTCAACACTACCCGTCTACTTTTTACATTTTTTGATCTGAACAAGAAAAGGACTTCTTCGCCCTTAGAATACCTTGACTGTACAATTCATTCCTGTTATATTACTAATATCGTTTGTATTTAACTAGTTACTCGTTGGCTAAAGAGTCTGCAGTATAGAAAACGCGAAGCGCGTTGGAAGCGCGACTGATTTAGTGGCGCGGTCACGTGCACCCTGACTTCCCAGAATCGCGCCCAAGTTGGCGAGGACCTCAGGCCAGCTCAGCCTAAGGCCTTTCCATCAGCTTCGGCCGCGGGGGTTCGAGTCCATATAAAGGTTCCTTCAAAATCGGTCGCGACCAGCACTTGACTGTCATGCACTCGCTCCTTGTTATACAAACCACTTTCAGTCTCAATATTCATGCACTCGTTTTTTTCCTCACTCCTTCTCTTGTGCGCGCGAGGGCATCCGAGAGTTGGAAACACCGCCGGTGATCGACGCCATCAAACACCGCCGGTAAATGCCTATATCACGTGAGTCTTCAACGCGGTCACGCACGATCACCTGCAAACAATCATCGCCCCTCTGCACCAATGCGCCTCATAACAGCCTTGGAGAACTTGCAAAGACACCCTGTTCTACGGAAGCTCACGTTGAATGATGTGGTCCAGTATGCAAGGCTGGTAGGCCATCTCAAAAACGACATCTTGCTACCTCAACCACTCGAGCAAACTGATCCTGGCGTGCCTCCTGATGTTTTACCCTTGAGCCTCGTAGAATTTTTGAGCCTAGCCCTAAGCATTAAGCAAGAGTTCATTCAAGATAGCTGGGATATCATGAAGTATTACATCTGGGAATGTACAACTGTTCCCCTGATACATGAAGACTTCGAGCTATTCAGAGAGTTTGGTTGGTCTCGGGGCATCGGTATGTGCCAAATTACATACGGATAACAGTATTAGGGATATTTAAAGCTTCTTTATAGCTGCGCTTTCGATCTACCCTCGCGAAAGTGTCTGTGCAATGGTGGGCTGTGGGAATACACGGCCGTTGAAGAAAGAGACTAGCCGTGAGGTTGTTGTTTATACAACTGCCAATGGCGTACAGGCTGCATGGGCCATTCACCTCTACTGTCCTGGTAAGAGCTATCCTGTTGACCTCCTTGCACAACTGCTAAATGACCCACAGAGTGTAAAACTGACTATCACAACAACTTTACTGTCCATGACGGAGAACGCACATACTACGAAGAAGTCCCACTTTACGTACAGGTTGGCGAACATCAATTCGTCGAACAGAAAATTGTCCGCACCTGGATAAACAATATGCTCATTGCGTGGTATAATTAATTCTTTCAAAATCTTGGAGGTACAAAAATTACTCTAATGCCTGTTCATCAAGGGTATCCGCCTCAAATGCTGCAAAAGCATACAAAATGAGCCTTGGAGGTACATACCTCAAAGGCCTGAAAGACACCGGTTGGCAGTTTGGGTCTCGTTTAACGACGGAGCACGTTTGGGATGCCTTTGTTATCCTGTGCTTGATCGAAAACAAACAACGTGAAAACCAGTGCCTTCAGGTCCCACACACGGGTGCGCAAAAGGATAGATTTCGAGACGCGATGGCAGAGAGGAACCAAGACTTTGTATTAAATGGCCAACCAGGTGTCGTAGACCATGCATGCGACAAGTGTTATCGAACCTACATGACGGCCAGCGGCGAAATTCGTAAGTTCCTTCACATAAATAACATTACCTTCAAGAAAACTCAACGCTGGATTTAGGACACTGCCATCCTATCGTGGGAGACGGGCTGAGCATAGGTCGGCCCTGTTGCGCGGTCTTCGCTTGTCGCGAGCCGCTTCAAAATAATCGACATCGATACTGTAAAACTCACTTCAGCCAACATGACGTTTGCGCAGTCATGCTATGCGAGGAGCCCATCAGTGGAGCTGATTCGAAGACATGCTCTGACCCAGAACACAAGGAATTTGAGCGCAAGAACAAGGAGAAGGGCGCCTCAAACTTTATTCTTAAAGAGCGCTTCCGACACACTCAAGCATCCCAGCCAGTCGACACACTTGCCACCCAGCAAATAGACCATGTTGACGATGTGGAAGAAACAACTATTGAGTGGTTCGAGGTGGACGACAATAGCAACACCATCCGCCTTAAAAGTCGAGCAAACCCAGGAACGGTGGGCACAGAGGCCGATACTGCTTTACCCCCTCTGGATCCGTGTCCTTCCAAATCAGCTGCGGGCAATCGCGTCGCAAAGGCCCAGTTCTCGAGAAAGAGAACACACAATGAACAAACTCTTGTTCGGCCATGTGGGATTATTTACGCGCATGCTACCATGTTTGGAGCAGAAGCAGTCTCCAACTTTCTAGTATGTCTCGCTAAGAAGTTGTTATTTAACACCAGTAGATCTCATTTCATTTGAGCAGGTCATGGTGCAGAATGCCTTTTCAATTCCGGGAGCAAAGAAACCCGAACATATATTCTACGATACCAACTGTCTTGCATGTCAACAAGCAGAGAAAAGCTTTCCTTGGTTCAAAGGAATTGGCATGTGTGTCGACGTTTGGCATTTCCTCAACAAGCACCAAACGACACACCAATATTGTCAGGAAAACTGCAATCCTATTCAGTTTCCGGAGCTTCTCGACGAGTTTGGCAAGTGGTTTTTTAATACATCTGTTGCCGAGCAGATTAACGCCTGGCTGCAAGGGTATCACTCCATTGTCCGGGAGATGTTACCAGACAAGTTTGACTTTTTTCTCGACGAGATGATCATGAGACGGAATGTCGAGCATTTGAAGAAGTTGGCAGAGCAAGGACATAACCCCCGCTCCTTAGATCACTAGAGTTTTAATGGTAATACATTATATTTCGAGAATGATATGTAGATGCTACAAAACAAGCGGCGATACTGGCACAACGATCTACTACTGAGCAAACGGTAATCTACAACAAATCAAAGGTAAAGGGACATAAAGAATGGATTGTGAACATGCAGAAGAAAGGTGGTAAGAGTACAATGATTTCTAAGGATGAGTTACCTTGCTACGCTTGGGAACTGCCGACCACAGACCTGCTGGTGTCCGGCCAGCATTCTTAAAAGTATCGCGCTGCTCTTGAGTCAGAGCCTTCCAGTATCGCCGTTGGTCACGGTATGTATTTGGCGGGATCTTCTTACCGAATACATTGAGGAGGCTTTCATCGAGAAGGGTCTTCGATTGATCGACTTGGTGAAATCCAAGAGACATGTCGATTGCGTACATTCCCGCTGGCCACCGCTTCGATGTTTCGGGAATATGAATCGGCGTAGTTGGCAAGCTGGGACAAGGAGATGCCCTCGAGGACGTGGTTGGGGAACGAGGAAAAGGAGAGAAATGTTGGCGAAGAGGAGTGGTCGTCGTGCTTTCAGGATTGGAACGCTGGCGTTCCGATGGTCGGGGGTTGGCATCCACAGTGTCCTCACGTTGCCGTTTCAGCTTTGGTGGCATCTGTTGTTGCTCAACAAAGACCACCGCGTCATCCTCGTCGTCCTCGTCGTCCTTGGAGACAAATTGTACAAGGTAAGGTGGGGGTACAAGCTTTCTCTGTTGGAGCTGCTTCTTGATAGCCGTGCGTTCCGCAGTCATGTTGTATCGGAGATGGGTGTCCTTCGTTATGGCCTGCTGGATGAGTTCGTCGAGGCCAAGGCACTCAGTCCCTAGAAGCCGGAGGAGAAGAAAGCCATCCTTCTTGACCGTGTGAGGGTAGGAGGGGGTACAGGTGATCCACTGCAAGCTCCGTGTGTCGAAATACTCTAAAAGACGGGCTTGTATATCGAGCTCCTCACGAACGTTGACATCGTCCAACAAGATCCACTTTGGCCAAAGTGGACACTCGTGAATTGCTCGCCGTTTCGGTGGCTTTCCGTCCTATGGAAATATTTAGTGCACATTACGCAAAAATTAAACTGAATAAGTACCATATGCCAAAATATAAGGGAAAAGGTGTTGTCGAGATTGATTCGGTTACGCCGCTTGGGTTTCTTTGTGTTGTCCACCACTGGCCGCATCCAGTCCTCACTCATGTGCTCCTTGATACCTGGCTTAGATGTCAGTGGCCGATATGGAATGGTGCGAACTGTGGTTATGGGCTTTGTTGATGGTCGTGAGATCGGGACAGCGGGAGTTGTTGAGAACCCATAGGGATGGGCTAGCGGGAATGGTGAAGGGAATGGTGAAGGGAATGGCGCTGATGGGGCGAGTGAATCCAAGGGGCTCTGGGAAGACGACGCCGAACTGGCAAGGTGGGGGGTGGCACGCGGTACAGCAAGGGAAGCAGCAAGGGCTGCTTGGTACTGCTCTTCCTCGTCCTCTTCAAGTTGTTGGGCTTGCAGATCTTGTCCACGCTCGGCCTCGGCACGTTGCTTCTCCTGCTCAAAGAAAAGGACAACAGGATCGTGTGCCGTTATTGCATTGAGAGCAGAAGTAGGCACGGCGGGTACAGCCAGTTTACCCCGCTGCTTGGACGAGAGCTGGTCAAAACTATGGCTGCGTAAGCTGCAGCCAGGTAGCAAGACGCAACACTGTTTGCACATCCGACGCGGACACTGTATGCACCCGCGGCGTTTGCACCCTGGCTTCGCGCAGTCAATGACTCGTGATGCCGCAAGGCCATCATGGGTGGCTGTAGGAGGAAAAGGCTGAGGAAGAGGATGGGGAGAGGCCAACTTCGGGAATGTGAAATGGTAGCTGCATGCGATGCACTATGTGATAGGCGTCAACTTGTGCTAACATGCAGCCTGTGGTTTAACTCATCACTTACATGGATATAATAGTGCCCAGGTGAGTTTCCACCCTTGGCAAGTTTTACTGGAAGGTGGGATCCACAATGAACACACATGCAAGGCCCGTTGACATCGTGCAGGAGAGCCATAACGAGGGTGAAGCGCGTATTTTGGACGTGAATGGGTCGTAAAGAGCGTGACAAAAGCGTCGAATTAAGACGAGAGAGTAGCGTATAAAGATAAGGGTATCGCGTAGGGAAGAAATCACGTCGTCGTCGGCGGCGGGACCACCACTGACGACGTGGAGAAGGAAAAACAGAGGCACGTGCCCCTTATCGGATGTTGCCGCCGTCTACACCGCCGGTCATGCACGCCGGTGTTTCCAAATCCCAGATTCTTACGTGCGCGCGAATCTGATCTCACTGGACGGACGAGACGGAAGATTGGGATCAGAAAACCTAGTCAAGGAGACTGAGGCGTTTCGTAGGTAAGCTTTTTGTTGCTGAGGTATTTCGAATAACTTACACCTCACAGAGAAATCTCATATCAAACGGGTTTTCACTCTGAATCCGACATTGTTTGCTAACTTTTGTAACGTCGTTGTCATCTTATGGGTTTATTTCGTTCCAGACTAATAGTTAAATATAAGTTGGACCCAGAACGTTTTTAATAGTGTCAGCCACACCTTTGGATATAAAAACCGTTCGAAGCCAGACGCGAATACGCCTTGGTCATCAAACACTCGCCCACCGTAGTTCGCGATACGCAATGCCCCTCCGGCCTCTGGGCACCAGCCTCAGGCTCCTTACACTCGTTTTTCTCGTCGTTCCTACCCTTGTGTACGCGAACCTAATCTCTGTCGACCTTCGAGGCAACACGGACCGCGACCTGAGCCTTCAAGACATCGCTGACATGGTGGGCCTTGGCGTTGACGTCGATGATGGTGGCGTTTCCTTAACTCTGGACTTGCCGAGTGACGACGCAGGACCACCAGAGCCAGCGGCAAGCAAAGTCGTCGTCCGCACCACCACGTACTCCTGCCCGCCGAAAGATAAGCACGGAAACACTCTCGGCTTCCACTCCCAGTCTAGCAGTCCGATGCGATGCATGTACAAAAGCCAGGATAGGGACAGAGGGTCGTATTGCCTGTATGACAAAGTCAGTTCTCCGACTCATCTACATAGCGAGATTCGTTTTCTGACGCGTAGATTTTACAGCGCTCTGGAACCCTAACAGCAGACCACCACGACGACTTGTGCCCAGAGATCGCCTCAGAGGATTCTTCATCAAAGCGTCGACGCAGTCCTCTCCCTGTATCACCCAGAAAGCCGTCAGCCACTCGAGCGCCTGTCTCTGCTGCAATGAAGACGAGAAGGAAGCTTGGGATAAGAAAGCATAGAGGACGAGGCTGAGGAATCTCATCGGTAAGCTCCATATCCCCACCCGCTGAATGGTATGTGAGAGGCTGATTTACGGTGCAGATGACGTCGGGCTCAGAGGTATTCCCTGCCAACTTCGGATCTTCGTTCTGCTACAAGTCGTTCATACAGTTCCGTTTAAAATCGTACCGTCGTTGAATAGACCGTTTGTATACCCTGTTCTGTCTCCATCTTTACCGCAGCCGCTTCGAGAAGTCGCTCGAAATTCGCCCAAGGCATTTCAAAACAGGAGTGGTTCTAGTACATAATCCAATTCTGGGATTGGTGGAGTTGAGCGCTGCCCCACCTTGTTGGAACGATGGATACCACGATACCGCTGAATCAGGAATACAGTTTATTCCTGCTTATTTCGCCAAACAAACGTGCGTCATACTTCAAATTAGGCCAAATCGAGGCAAGGCAAATTTGAAATACTTACAAGGATGAAGGATCCCGCGAACGTCGGCAAGCTGGCAACCATCAGAGCTTTGTTACTTTTTGGAACAAAATTAAACAAACGTGGAACTTAGTTTCAACAGACACAAAGGGTAAAAGTAAGTAGTCTACCATTCTACGTGCGTGAACATACACGCGGTATGATACAGTCCAGGTATTCTAAGGACGGAGAAGTCCTTTTGTTGGTCAGATCAAAAATGTGAAAATTAGACGGGTAGTGTTAAAAAATCCGGGTAATAAAGGGAAGGTATCCAACGATGTGGAGTGAAGCCGCGATTGGCAAAGTAGGTGTAAATATCCATGGTATGTATATCGTCTCAGGGGCCTCGACATCTAGTCCTCCATCAATCAAATGCGACACTGGAAGGGTAGCACAACTCACCATAGCCATTTGGCACCATCTAAACCGACCTCTTACCCCGCTTAGCAGACCCAAGTTGACTTCTGGTCTTCAACGGAGCTGCATCGACTTGGCGTGCAGAGCCACGCATACGGGGCGACTGAGGAAGAGCATCACGACGACGAGAGGATGTCGAGCAGACGGCTTTGTTAGGGCAGTTCCCACTGTCATGGTCGGCCGTCAGCGCTCCTGTGGTCTAGTTAATTTTTAGCAAGGACTAGACGATGCGAGTTATGAGTTGAGTGTATAGCAAACCTTGCTATACGAGCAGTAGTTGACGACCGTATTATATTGACAGTAAAGAGGGTCGCTGGATTCGTCGCGAAGGCCCAATGCCTTGTTGTTTTTGTCTTTGGGGGGGCACTTATAGACACAAGTGTTGGATGGTGTGGGAGCGCGGGGTTCCAACGCAGACGTGAGCAAAGAACCGATCAGAAGGGTGAAGATAATGAGTAAAGAGCGCATCTTGTAAAGGAGGGAAAGTTCGAAAGGCGCAGAAAGGGAAAAAAGCCTGAATCGACCGCAAGCGACTAATCTGTTTATATAGAAAAAGGGCGGATCAGGTACCCATCATTCTAGATATTTGTTCCGCACTGTACCTGACATATAAGAATATGAAGCGACTGGCAGCGTTGCTCTTTAGCTAGAAATCGTATGCCACCGTGCGTTTCATCCGTAAAAAATGGCCACTCATGAGTATGCTTTACAGATCGCACAGGCAGAGCTCCAGTAAAAAAGTCTAAGGTGCCGTCATAAAGTGTAAATCTATACGACCCTGCCAGTGCACGCCGCTCACACGCAAGTCGCACGCTGTCACTTCCCTAATGTTGCCGCAAAGTAAAGACTAAACTTTAAAGTGCCTTTAAAGGACTTTATGCCCATATTGGGCGCTTTAAGGTACTTTAAGGCAAGGCTGTGTTGTTGGGCAACGCCGCCTCACGCCGGCATTGTCAAATCTTGGCCGGTTGTCAGCCTGCACGATGTGCGCGAACTCACCAACGTCCGTCGCGCGCACGAGCGTTTACGTTTCTCCCTCATCTGCTTCATGCGACGTGCAAGCGCAAACCTCGGGGCTGAGGCGTGTAAATCAGCTTGTACAAAACCTCTCAGCGGAATCGATCGCGCAAGGTCCCAACAATGGCGCCGCTCCCCTCACCACTGGCAGTTCTAACATCGTGAAGCGGACAAAAAGGTTGTCTTCGCGAAAAGTAGTCCAATGGCCCGATCTTTCTGAAGAAGGTGAAAACAAGTGCGAGAGCAGGCTTGATAATTGGGTATCCTCAGAAGGGGACCTATGTAGATCTCCGTTATGCTCGAGGGGATGAGCTCTGACCAGAGAATTTCTGACCTTGACCAGCTTACTGATTCCTGTTTTACTTAGCCAGAATTTGCATCCACTTAATATTATTATGTTCTACTATAAGTACATAGTTTGTGCTTATCTGCTGAGGGAGCAGCGAGCCTCCGTCGTGACAAGAAGGCTGTGGACCGTCAACCGAAAGCGGAAATCACTTTAAAGCAACTTTAGGTTTATGTCAAGTCCGTTAAAGTCGGAAATAGCCGACTTTAAAGCACTTTGAACTTTGCTTTGCGGCAACACTACACTTCCCCACCCTAATTTACATCTGGCTCCACTTGGCGTTGATTTGGTCACTGGTGTGCACTCGTACTTACCAATGGCGCCTTCCATTCGGCATGCTCGCCATTGAGCACTCATTCCCTCGTCACAGAAAAAATCGAAAGTCAGTGATTTTATTGACAAAATGACTCTTCCACTTTCCACTTTACGTCTCCCTCACAATCTATTGTCACCAGAAAATTACTGTTTCTAGTTTTGCGGGCGAGCTTTTTTTTTGTAAAAATATTCAGGTGATGGATCAGGAGAGTTATATTTTGGGGAGTGTTTTTGCTGGACGTCCTATGAGCTCAAAATCATTTCAACATGGCTGATTGGGGGTCCCGACACATTCATTGATGAAATGGACCATAGCCTTAAGTTGGAAAGTTTTACCGAAGGAAAGTGGTGCGAGATGCTTTAAATTGGTACAAAGTTCAACTGTTTGCAGCACATCTATTTATTCAACGATCCTGCAGGAGTCTGCAGGCCGCCGCCGAGAATGACAAATTCCCTACCACTTGGCAAAAGTGCCGGAGAGGCAGGTACTTAACACCGTTCTGTCGGTAGTTGAATAAATTCTTGGAGTGCTTTTGACTATTTACCAAGCGCACGGATGGGGATGAACCAATGTGAGGAGTGTCCATCTCAAGTATCTCATTCAAGGTTTATTTAGCAGTGAAGCACAGACGGTGGACTTACAAACGATGACCACGAAAAATTTATACTTGGCAAAAAAAAATTTCAAACAAGTGGATGACAAGTGAGTATAGACCCGCACCAACGTTCTAGGTACGGATAACTCTATGAGCAACAAAGTCGCTAATTATGAACGTTTCCCAAAGTGCTAAAAAGTACGTTGAATTCTAACTGTCAGTTTGAAAGGTCCGATTAGTGATTGAATGAAAATATGCATCGTCGGAGAAGTAGGAGCGTAAGAGTAGGTAAAGAGCGAAAGAGGATCCATGTAAACCATTCCCGGACGTGAAGCCGACATCTAGGTATGCATGAATGTAAATGCCAGCTGAAAATTCAAAGATGACGATGCTCACCATGACACTCAACGGCGTCTAATCCGACCTCTTACCGCGCTTGGCGGACCCAAGTTGATCCCTAAGCTTCAACTCGCCAGCGTCAACTTGGCGAGCAACGTTCCGACGGGGAGACCGAGGAAGAGCAGCGCGACGAACGTTCGAGCAGATGGCCTTTGAAGGGCAGTGTCCATCGTCCTGATCGAAGGTCACCGCACCCGTGGTCTTATTGAATTTGCGTAAGCGATGACATGTATAATTCAAAGGAGTATACCACAAACCTTGCTGTACTTGCAGAGGCCTCCTCCTTTGTAGTGGCAGTTGATGGGGTTGTCGGATTCGCTATCCGCGTTAAGATTGTGGTTAGCGGTGTCCTTGAGTGGGCATGAGTAATGGCAAGGAACGTTGGACGGTCCAGTACGAGCAACCAGCGCAGATGTGAGCATAGCGCTAATAAGGACCGTGAAGATCACGAGGAAGGAGCGCATGATTGGCAAAGGTAGGAAAAATGAAAGGTCGACTGGGGAGTCGTCGTAGGAATGCAGTCACTGAATAGATGGATGAGCACTGGGCTCGTTTATATAGGCCCCGCCTCAGGTCCCAAACATTCTAGATCATTGAACAGACCCCTTTCGACCCTTCACAGCGAGAGGCTGGGCCGAAAAAAAAAAGATTGAAGCAAATGTCAGAATCATGACACACTGAAACCAATTCAAATTGATTTCCATTCCGACTCTTCCAATTAAGCAACCCTGAATGTCATGGAGGCATCTAGAGGCATGTGGTCAACCCCAAACAATGCGAGTCCTGCGAGCGCTCGCCACAGATCCCCGACTCCCAAAACCATGGATTTTTGTGGGGCAAATTAAATGGCCTGTACACATATACAGTGCAACACACTTGCCCCTGAACAGCTCCGAGGTGGTACAATTTTCGAACCAGTTCCTAACTTCGTATGTCGGAAGGAAGACCCCAAGATCTCTCTAGAGGCAAGTTACAACAGTGGGTGAACGGAAAACCCCGGACAGCGAACGCGTGGTTTGAGGCTATCATGCCATGTCTGGAACCAAATTTAAAAAGAATCAAAAATTCAAAAATTCAATCCATGGTGGACCACTACTCTCTGTTCTATACAGCCATTTAGTCTAGTGGAATTTACCCTTATTTCTTTCATTTTGCCTGATGTGCTGAGTTCAATTCCTCTGTGAGGTATTTTTTTGCCCTTCCTCTTCCTGATAGCTAATCCAATCAGCTCTCCCTCTTCTTAAAATATTCATGCAAGGTGTTGGTTATCTTTATTTACATTTTGTTGATTGATGGGTAGAGAGGAGTACCTGTTCAAGCACAATCAGCCATTCTAGAAAGACATTTGTGAAAATTATCATCTGTCTTTCCTTTCTTTCATGAATATATTGGCATTTGACATCCTCCTCCACTGTATAAATTGATTGTTAATTTTCCTTTCATGTGCCAGAGTGTCTGGTGCATTTAAGGTACATTTATTTGAAACTTGCATACCTGCTTTTGCATGTGGTAAAAGAAATTCCATGCAACTACTGAGATACAAAATTTTAGCCCATATTATGTAGCACAAATGTAGCCATGGATATATTAGCTATTGAAGGATGGACATCTAATTGCAGCTACAGATGCTGCTTTACTATTTGCCTTTCTGCTCTTTTGATGCTAATTCTGCATCTTGTTATTGCAGAAACACAGCAATGACTCAAGAGCTTCTGAAACTTGTATACATTGACATTAACCCTTTTCCAATGGATTCCTCTCACAATCACATTGCCAGTCTTTTTTTTCTTACAATTATGCCCATTTTTGTAGAATAAATTTCAGACTGCTCATGGCTGCTATAGAAGTTGTTTATTATAAGATTTTGAAGCATAGAGAAGGAATCATCTTTGAAATAGTCAGGTTTTTGATTTTTTGGCAACCAAGTGGCATTACAGATTTCAAAAGGGTGACTGATATCATTTTCTTAATTTGAGCACCTTTTGATGGGGATTCATAACAATTTTTTTGTTTATTATGACTGTCATTGTAATGTCCTATTTTTTGGTTCAGTTTTTCACTTTAAGTGAAGACATTTGGATGTGGCAATGAGGAGAATGAATTTTTGAGTAGAGATATAAGCCGTGTGAACAAATAGCCAAATCTGTCAGCAATAGCCAGATTTGTACTAAATTCTAAAGTGGAAGAAGGCTGTGCGAACAATTACCACTTTCAGAATTAGTAGCCCAAATCGGGCTATTGGAGGTTCCAGACACCACACAATAGCCTGGTTTGATGGAAATCATGGCCCAAACAAGGAACAACTGCACTATGGTCCACGTCACCTAAACACCGCTACTTTTGTACAAAGGTTATTGACAGCACAGATCTCACTCCTTTCCTTATTCTTTTTACAAAAGTGATGCATTTGGTTGAAAGAAAAAAACTGTTAGACCGTTTGGCAAAATATTCAAAATTGAGGGAGTTATAAAAGTTCATGAACCCGATTTGGCCAGCTTACGTAACTTTGTCCCAAATGGTATATCTTATCTTATCTATCTAATAAAAATTCGAATTGGGTGCCAGATTGGTGCCAGACACTCGGGAATGAGCCTGTGCGAAGCATATTTTCGTGAACTAAAGTCTTTGACGTGGGCCTGAGCTTCTTTTGCCCCCAAACCCGAGCGGTATGCATGCATCCAACGAACCATGCGATGTTCCCAACGCCGTTCACGCTCCCATCCCAGTCACACTCCTCCAGTGCCGTGGGTGCAATGTTGGCTGTATCATCACTGTCACCAGCCATGCCGCCGATATTTCCGGCTATTTTCTGGTTTTTGATCCATTATGAGAAGCTGACTGGGCCACGTTTTTCGCTTTTCCAGCGCGGGCGCGTGCAGCCCTTTCATTTGCTTGTTGATTTCGGTGGCCCATCAAGCTGTGAGGATTATTCGTGTAGAGCGAGCAAAATTTCGGTTCAATTACACTATGTAGTTACTACAAAAATGGGTGTTCTAACATTGCCCGTTGGGCGCGCTCCTGGGCGCTCGGCCAGACCCTTTGGCGCCTGTTGGTGGTGCGTTGCCGAGGCAATTTGGCCGCTGTCCAAAGTAGCGGTGGCTAGGTGACGTGCACCATAGGAAGTAATGAATCATCAATGCATCACCCACTGTGGGGAAACTCGCGCTTGATCATGGAGAACATGCCTGGCCAGGCGCCCATGCCCGCGTATCTCCTTCTTTTACTCTCCGCCCTCATTTTTTTCATTTTACCAGGGCATTCCAATTTCCGTGACGGGGAAGTAATTACTAATCCCTGTGACAACGTGGACGAAATTTTTGGTAAAAACTCAGAAAGAAAATGGATTACTTGGCCATGACTATCAAGTGGAAGTGAGGCAGCCGAACTCAGAGTCGAGATGTCAAATCTATATCCAATACATATCTGTTTTTTTAGGCTACTTACGAAAAGTGAACAAGAATTCCGAAATATTGGAAAACAGAGAGCCTCCTCTTCGCGTGTGTGGGCGGGAGGGTGTACCATTTGGCGCATACAGTAGCTTGCGCGTGGTGGAGTTCGGCGTCATACGGATGGCGGGCAGGCCAGATGTTTGGTTTACATCAAGATGCCAAACATTCCTCAATGCCGACATCGCCGCCCATGCTAATACCCAACGCGATTGACGGTTATGACTAGGCGATTTCGACTCTCCCGGCGTCATATGTAGTTCCAGACTCCAGCGCACTCAGGCTGGAGGCTTTATGAGATTGTGGACATAGCGAGTAGGTGGTTACTGAGGGGGTACAGTATATGCCGCAGTACGTATTTTACCAGTCTCGAGTGACGTGAATGGCTGACTTTATGGCTTAGAAAACTGTCGAGCTTCGAAAAGCACTAAGCATTTCGTCTCAGCCTGACTCCAAACTTGTTCGTTCAGCGTCAGCCACACTCCCATATAAAAGTGATTTTTTCGACCTAAGTTGAATGATCTGTCCTCCACGCTCTAACCTCTCTTTCTTCACGACCAACCTTGATTCGTCCTTCACGCGCACGCTCTAACCTCTCTTTCTTCGCGACCAGCCTTTCGACCGATGGCTTTCTCCATCCTCACGCTCGTTCTCATTGCATCTACCCTCCGACTCACAGCACTCGTCTCCGCCAACACCGACCTCGCCCACGCCGATCGAACTAGGAGACCACAACCCATACCGCAAGCCCATCAGATGATGAAGGGTCCGTCTACCCGCTCCTGCCCTCATGTCGACAAAGAAGGCTACAGTCTGGACTTCCAGTCCGAGGACACCAAATCGATGCGATGCGTGTACAAAAGTCCAGTCGACGATGAGAAGGAGGCGTATTGCTTATATGACAAGGTCGGTTACCTACAGGACACACGTTCGACAATAACTTACCTCTTTTTAAATGCAGGATTCGGGTGCCCTGACGCTGGACCACCACAATGACAAATGCCCCGCCGCCGCCGTTGGATATCGCTATTTGAACAAGCCGGACCGTCGTCGCAGCCGCATTCCTATTCCACATTCGCCGCGACACCCGTCAGCCGTCTGCGCCTCGTGTGATGGGATGAAGCTAAGGCAAGCGCTTGGGGAAAGAAAGCATGCATGATGTTTGAACGTAAGCTTTCAGTCTATACCATTCAGGTGCTTCAATTGAGCTGATGAAGGGCGGAACAGATGTTCATTGACTTGGCGTTTCCCATTTACTCGCTTACTCCTGCCTGGTCTTTTTTTTTTTCTGCCCCGGTGTCTCTTATTCATTCATTTACCTTTCTTTACCGCGTATTCGATTCTATCTCCGCACGGAAGACCTTTGTTTATCACCATGATGCTTGGAAGAATTGTTGCCAGAGATCCGTCTCTCTCGAGTACTATTAGATAAGACGTCACGATTCTACCTGCTGTATATATTGACCCGGGGACAGCGACCATAGATAGCCGAAATTTGGTGCGAGGTTCTTCGGCGCTTTGATTTACTCGAAATTAGGTCGATCAAAATTATCTTTTATGAGTTAATGATTTATGGATCAATTAGGTTGTTCGTTCCCGAAGCTTTCTCGGGGATATCTACTGAACTACCTGCAACGCCCGATATGTCCTTCATTACTATCTATGAGCACAATCGTTTTTCCCCACCCCTCTATGCAAATTGCAAATTTTGGCTATATGAATGAGCACACTCCGTCTCAAACGGAAGATAATACGCTTCTCGGAGATTGAGAAGTAGGCGACAACCTAAGATTCTTGATGATAACTGAGCCAACGTGACTGTTATCGTGATATAGTAATACTGAAGAAGATCAGCTCGCTGGTAGTAGAGGAATCCAAGGTTGTAGAACGTACCGGAAGTCTTGTCCAAGTGAATATGTTTAACCCCCCTATGGCGAAAGCACTGTATAAAAACCGTTCAGCACATGCCAAGATTAAGCAACGGATTCCTTACATGAGAGGAAATACAATACTATCACAAATCAAAATAGACCGCAGTGGTCTCCTCAGTGAGAATGACCGTGATTCCTTGAAGTAAATCAGGCCAGCTTGGAGTCCCAGGAGAAAAATTATCAGCTCAAAGGAGAACATAACTATCCAGAAGTAGACGGGATACAAGTTTGGAAAATGCTGTCCCATGCAAAGGAATTGGCTGTCGGAAATTTCTGCAAAGTATAAATATCGGGAGTTCAGAGATTGAAGAATAACCTCACCAACAACAACGCCGAGATATGCTAAATTGATGGCTGTCATTGAGATCACCTCGATGGTGAATGCGATGACCATCAAAAATATGATTTTCCGGCGATGACTATACATGCAGGCGATCCGGAACTGCATGATGGCTAATGAGGTGTCAGAGCAAAGTTGATAATGATCGAACAGCATGTGTACACCAACCTTGCATCGACCAAATCAATAGAGTACTTCCCCATCCCTCTACGTTCGCCACGACTTTACCTAGAGATCATGAAGGTTCCCCACAAAAATGAACGAAATTATTGTATTCACTTACACCTAGCAAATGAAATTTATTGAGTAAAAGTTGAGTGGCTCGCACCAAGCTTGCAAAGGAAAAGTTACGTCTGATTTTTAATGATTAAAGCTCAAAACGGTTAAGGAATGAATATGAACCAACCTGATGAAGCCCAGTTGAGGGCTGGAAAATTAGAGCTGAGTTAATTATAGTTGGCCTAGTGATTCACATTCACCAACGCGATACGTACCGCTCGCTAGGTATCTGCAAAAACCTGTCAGTAAAAGTCAATGTCAGCTGGTGTTCTACGTACATAAAAAGGGCCTCCCCGAGGTACCGATTCTGCAGATTTGGTTATCCAGTAGCCAGCATATATTGGGAAGACGTACAAGAATAAAGAGAACCTTCACGATAGACCATCTTTTTTTCTGCAATTATACTCAAATGAGCAAAAACGATTTCTATGCTTGGATATTGACGGTACCCAGATGAGTTCGACCTAGCATGGGTGGATAGACCGCCTAAATAGTTGCCAAGTAGGTGAATAGATCAGGGTACTAACTTCTAGGTCAAGTGTGGTAGCTAACATGATCGACAATTAGCTAAAGCCAACTTAAAGAGAAAATTCAGAGGATCTCACAGTGCTCGTAAAGAGACACAACTGCAACTGCAACTTGGGGAAAGCTCTCAGCACTCCGAGTATGGGGAAGATGTAAGACGGCCTACACTTGACAAATATCGCACACTGCGTGCCATAAGCAAAATGGTTGACGGACTCGGGTCCACTCATATCGATGGAAAGGTGGGGGGAACTTAGCAGGTCCGCCGTAGCTTAGATCGCCCTCTTTAAGATAAAGCTGCTGGAGATAAAGATAGATTTCCACGCAAGCAGCAATAGCGCCCCGAAGTGTTAGCGCTGACAGCTGATACATTCCGATTGAGACGGAGGGGCATCCCACCTGTATAAAGAGTATAAAGAGGGGACTGAGATGGTAAGCAGCCTCAGGCCAGTTATTTACAGCGACCAGTTCTGCACAGCAGGAGCTGTTTACGGAGACACATGGAATTACTCCTCCAGGCTCAGCGACACGCCCGAACCGAATAAGGCTCACAGATAAGATCTGGAAGAGCATTTGACATTTGAGTGACGTGCATATTTCGGCAACGCACTTTTCCTGACGCCATTGGCCACCTGTTAAACCCAATCCGAGACGCTCCAAGACGCCGGGACCATCGTCTTTACTTCGGAAGAAGTTTATGACCGTTGAGATTCCTTCTTCCAATTTACAACTTCACTTTCACAGTCAGCCATGTCCATCCTACCTGCATTCCTTCGGTCGCCCGTTTCGCATATAATGGGTGCAAAATGTCACAAGGTACCCACTTCCTAGATCGATGAGACTCCACTTGAGGAAGACCGTGAAGAGGTGCCTGAAACTCCTCGGTCCTTGTCATAGTACGTACTATCAATTCAACGAGCCAAACATCACCTTCATTCCTACTGAGGTGTTTTATCTCTTCTTCTACCTTTTGAAGTGTCAAATTTGAACAATCGAAGGTGATAACTCGAAGTCATCCCGGTGGCATGCATAATTATACTTGTACATGAAGCTTCATTAGGGAGACGTTCCCCTTAATGAGCGACGCTCCTCACTCAAGGTTGCGATTTCTTTTACGTCAACAACTTTGAAAGGCCAGGTCAACCAATTACCACCACTGCGCAAGCTTGGGAGAAACATATCTTCCAATAGCTCGTCAACGGCTTGGGGCCAACTGCAAATTAGCTTGTTTTCAGTGGATGTAAGAGCAAAATGATAGTGCAACCCACGTCATGAAATCCAGACTACCACTGTGGCTGTCATTCAACCAAGAGAGCATCTGAGGGAATCGGGTCTTCATCCAAGCGGACTTTCGCTCCCCTTCAGACATGGCCTTTTCAGGAGATGAAGGAAGGCGCATGAGATCGTTGCGAAAATACGATGCTGTCCAGTGAGCAGCTACTTCGCTGACATGAGCAAAATCAGCAGAGAACTGAAACCGATACTCAGTTAACATCAGAGCTTTCGCGGAGGAGACTGTGCTCACCAGTGCGCCTGCAATTGCAAAGTCACGCCTGTCAATATTCTTCGCGGGAACAATGCCTCGGTGTATTGAGGTAGCCCATTTGCTTTGTTCAGAGGGTTGAGGGGGTGGGTTTGCCAATGAAGCATATTTCCATTCGTTTTCAAAATCACAAGTGGGGGTGTGTCTGGCGATGCCAAGCTCTTCAGCCATGTCCTCTAAAACGGCGTCAACAATGGCATAGAAGGGATGGTGAAGGACTCTTACTTTCGAAGATAGGCGACCAGGAAGATTGGTACCCTGTGGCTAAAATCACAACTTTCGCCGGAAGCGTCCGTCCGTCACTCAAGAGCAGAGATTTCCCGTCTTTTGCATACCCAATGGCTCTGGTAGGAGCAGCGAGGTCAATATGCCCTGCGGTTACCAGCCCATGGAAGCTGTCCGGCCGTACCAGTCCTTCATCGCTGAGACGAAGACCCCAAAAATTTGAGTGTGTACGCCGGAGAGGGGATTCGTTTGGAATTTTGTATGCGGCAAACTGGCCAACGGTTAGTTAGAATCTGCATCTTGCGACTGTACTATGAGAAGTACCGCTTGTTTAAGTAGTGTCCTCCACAGAAACCGCGTAATGAGGCCCCCAATCCAAGTCTTGTGGAGAAATCGCCTGTGTGAATGTTAACAATGCCATGCGAAGTAAAAAAAATAATCTAATTCACTCCAGGTGACTCCTGAGCTCAATGTGGGGCGAAAAAATGGCCATGAATCTGCAAAAAAGCCGAACATGATGCAACTGGAGACGAAGGCGCAACACATCCTTACCTGCTCTTACGAATGAAAGCTGGTAGGGGAGCTGGACCGGCAAAAAAGGCATCTGCGACTTCAAAGACATTCGTGACCTTGCGTCCTTCATTGGCCAACTTCGCGCACATGCTGGTGAAAGGTGAGGTTAGCATTTGCTAGCCGAGACGAAGGGGAGACTTGCTCGCGCGCTGATTTTCCACCACCAACAACAATGACAGCATCTAATGGGTCGCCATTGCTCGTCGCTTTCGGCTTGACAGAGGCCAGGATTTCATCCAAGCAGGGAGCAAATTGTGACGAATGAATGACAATTCCCCCAAATCCCGCCTTCTTAGCTGCATCCGGAGAAAGGTTAGCGGGAATGCTGGGGTTGCTGCAGCCCTACATCCGCCTATATATGTCGCAGCGATAAATATCAACGGGTTGGACACACACCCCAGTAGAGAGAATGATCCGCGAAAATGTCAAAATCTCCTCCGAGCCGGATCTGAGGTTCTCCGTTTTAACCAGCCAGATGCCCTTCTCATTGCGTCGGATATTCAGCACTTCCATCTCCATACGAAACTTGGCTTTATTCTTCAAAAACTTCTCCGTGAATGTTTCCATGTATTTGGATACATCGGTCCCAGTCAACCGGGCGCCAGTTTGCTCATACCTTTCCGGAGGGGGCATATCCAGCGCGGAGAAGCGGTATTGACCATGCACGCTGGAATCCGTTCTTCAGTAATTTGAACAGTCGATATGAAGTCGATTAACCAACTTGTTGATATGCAATCCAGGATAAACCCGATGTTGCGCCCAGGTACCACCAACGGATTTGTCCCGGGAAACAAGTGTTACGTCCGTAAAGCCGTCTTGTAGTAGGACATGCGCAGTGATGAGTCCGGCTGCCCCAGCGCCAATGATACCGATAGGTTGAGAGAGCACATCTGTGGGGGAGGACATCACGAAGGTGGGAAGGTCAATGTGGGGGAAAGGCCGTTAAATAAAACAAAGACTGATGATGATTGTGGTAGCACCTACATTCCCTTGTCGGATAAACCTCCGCGACGGATGGGATAACTCATCAAGGGATGGATTGCGATGTGCCTGAGTCAATACATGTAAGGGTTGAGTTTGTCAACGACACAAGTCGCACAACCTACTTACACTTGACGTTTGTAGAAGAGATTCCACAACTGTGAGTGGTCATGCCAGACATTGAATGCTGAAGCTTTGAAATTCTGGATTTGAAGGACGCAACAAACGTTGTTAATTCCGCGGCGTCCGATCACGTCATGCTTCAAGATGGGAAAAACCAACATGATGAGGCTTCCCGCTGGCGGCCGTACTTATCTGATAACCCGGTGTAACAACGTGCAGTTTACGCGTCAAGAGCCTGAGACGTGAATCGTACATGAAAATAGCAAGATCATTGTCCTGATTATCCTGGATAGCAGCCCTCGGCAATCGGAGAGGCGATGAGCTTGATGACTGGGACGTGGAAGAACGATAGCGATGGCCGCCTCACTTCATGTTCTTTTTACACTTGTGCGTGCCTTTATGTTCCTTCCAGCCCTCCTTATGACATTCAGGACCGCAGAAGAAGGCTCGGCCATTACAAGTACCTAGACATTCGACGTCGTCAGCGAAATGGCAAAACCTGTCTCTCAACGACTCACCAGAGCACGTCTTCCACATGCCAGCATCACCGCATGTAAAGCATCGCTGCCAAGGACCAGCCTTCGCAGTCCGTGCCTCTTCATCCAGGTCGACTCCCTCAAAGTCACCCCCTGGAACGTCAAGGCGGAGCTGCCACACATCACCGAAGCTCCGCGTGTTGAGGCTACTTCCGCGACTAGGAACGTAGTCGGTGTTGGTGAACCCACCAAAGAGGTACGTTTTTCCAGTGGCAGTGTCGGTGTGGAGTTGTGCTTGGCAGCGGTAGGTGGGGAACCCGCGAGTAAGAACTTGTCGCCACTTGGGCTGGGGTATCTCTGATGGAGGTATGGGTCTGTCGGAAATACCAGCGGAGGTAGAAGAAGAAGATGACGGGGGTTTGATGAGTGACATGCTTAAAGAATCTGGTGTCTCGTGGATGAAGGTGTCGGCGTAGTAGGAGTAGTCAAACCTGCGCTTCTGCACAGGGTAGACGGTGGGTATATTAGCACAGTACCCGCCGAATGTGATCACCTTCTTGAGATTCGGGTTCTAAAAAAATGATATCAGCAGTGAGAAGAAGTACAAATTGACCAAGACGAACATAGGTGCAAGCCATTTCGGCCCTCGAAGATGGCGGATTCCCCGCAACCCGTTCCCTCCTCCACTTCTCACCCTCAATGTCCCAGCTCCACATGTCGCTATAAGGAAATCCGATATGGGCCCCGTGAAGCTCCCCCGTAAGCCGAGCACCTTCGCGATCGCATTGGCCCATGAGAAGCCAGAAGCGGCCCTTTTCCACCCAGCTGGACGGAGAAACGCGAGGTCCAGGACAAGAGTAGTCGCCCTTCGCTGGAGGCATAACATAGCCTGAGAGCCGACGCCACTCCTTCGTAGCAAGATCAAGCTCCATGAACAGGTTGCACCCAACCTTAGTCCCTCCATGGCTACCCCCGAAGACATACATCTTCCCATTAATCAGCTGGGTGGTCGCATGGCAGGTGTCTTGTCCCCGATAGGGCCAGTTATCCTGAACCCCAGCTGAGATATCGGTTGCCGTAGATTTGTATGTCGTAGTGATACTCCCCCACGTTTCGGTGACGAGGTTGAAATAGTCCAACCTGGGCCGGCCAGTAAAAAGGTAGGCACGCTTCTGTTCCTCGTGCACCACCATATTCCAGCCAACGAACAAGCCCGTCTTGGACATGGGGATGGGGTAGTTGGGTAACTGACGCCACTCGTCCAACTTGATGAGGTCAAGGCACCAGAAATCCCGATAGAATGGCCCATGAGACTCCTTGGCGCCACCAGCAACGTACAACCTGCTATTCCAGATGAAGCTCGCGAATCTCAAGCGACACATGATTCTCCCTGGGGGGGCCTTGACCTGCAGCTTCTTCCAGGACCCACGGATCTGCAAGGAAGGCGCCGTGACCTTGAGTTTCGCGCAGAGCTGGGGGTCTGGATGGCGCAGCGAAATGGCGTCTACGACTTTGTTCATATCGTTCATGGCATTCACTTCGGGTGTGAAGTGGGGTTTTGGCATGCCTTTGATGGTGTCACATGCGTTCCACCGTCTCTGGGCAGCTGTTGCGGTATTTCCGAGGTCGTGAAGGAGGGCGGCGCCTGTGGTGAGCGCCGTGACGCGCTGGAACGTGATTTCTGGCAGGTCGATGTTGTGGTCGAACCAATCTTCACATAGCGATTCAGATATCCTCTTCCTCCGTTAAGTTCATCGAAAACTCACCATACAACGGACCTTGCTCTGCGGAATAATATCCGTTCAAGTAAAGTACATTCACCTCATCCAGCCAAGCGAGGGCCTGTACACGTCGTAAGCACGTCGACGAGTCTTGAACCATGCGAGCCACGTACACTTTCGATATCCTTCTCGTGTATATAGCACTTGGCCATACCATTGCAGCATCCCATCAGATTAGCCCTTTCGAAGTGGCCCACATTCGTATATTGAGCACTCCTGAGCCCACCACCGCTCGAACCTGAAATTCCTGGAATCTGGAATTGGTCACCAACCAACTGTTTGGCGTCGTTCCAGTATAACGCTTTAGCTTCGTCCCATTTCCCAGCTTTCACAATCTTGTCGCCGACGCGGCTGCGAAGAAGAGCTTTAAACATTTTAGAAGACAAAGACCATGGCGGTTTTGACGTACCTCGTCATCATAATGCTCAATATACTTTCCATAGCTTTGAGAATTTGTACAATGAGGTAGAAGGGCGTCGAAAGGCGCCAGCGCTGCGCGCAGGGTTTGAGCAGGTTAGTTTTTAGTGAAATAATTCGAAATTAATTTTAAATATATGGATATTATTCCCCGATGGCACAGAGTTCGCCTGGTCGTTCTCCAGCTCTTTTCATCCGTCCATTCACCACTTCACCACCAACTCCGGCGTCGCCGCCATCGCTCGAAATGTATTGCTGAGTTCGCCTTGTCGTTCTGTCGCTCTATTCATCCATCCATTCACCACCTCACCACCAACTCCGGCGGCCACAGACGCTCTTCCCTCCTCAATCATAACTCGCCTTCTCAAAATCCCAGACAGACATATCACCTCTTCCTCCACCTGAATCCCAACACCCACAGCGGGCACCCAGAGCCCTTTACATCCTGCCCAATCAACCTTCGCGTGCTCCTTTCTTCTCGAAGAGGCGCAGATTCGCCCTTCCTTCGCACAACCCTAAAAAATAGAGTTGACGATCCAGTGCTCTTGCAGCGGGTACAAACTCATCGTGGCCTCGCGGTCCCTTGGGGAAAGATCGGTTTCTGATGCGATGACAGCCTAGGGAAACACAATATAAATTCCGCTGGTGGAGAGACCTTGAAAAGATGATGGTTTGAGGGCGTCGTTGAGAGGCTTGAGGAAAACTCCGAACCTCCTCGAAACCGACGAAGCAAAAGGGAAAGCAAGTAGGATACACATCCGGCCCCAGCAACCCAACATCCACCCCCTTTTTTCTTTCTCATCGAAGGGTTTCCATCCGAACCTCGGCCACAATATCCGATTGTGGACATAGAAAGAACGACGACGAGTGCCTGGACATTCTATAACCATTCGCTCTCGGGCCTCCACCGCACACCGAAACGGGGAAGCATTGCACCCAGAGTTAGAGCGTAGAAGGTCTTGCCAACTATCAACATCAACCAGGAATAGCGTTAAAGGTCAACAACGTACTTGACCGACAGGAGGCGGTAGAAGAGCTGTCGAGATCGGAAGGCAACAAACACGTCCTTTCAGAACGGTAATGGTATGTGAAGTCATTCTGGAGATTCAAGTGACGCCGTTCTTTGTCATTTGGAAGAAAGCGGGTGGACATGGGTGTGCGGGATGCGGAACACGCCATGATTTCAGAAAGTAGTAGAATAGAGCCAGCTACGTAGATAGTCATTAGCTGCCGCCGTTGTAGAAGAGAATTTGAAGATAAACTTATGTGAAGATGAGTGTTCGGCGGCCTATCGACTGCTAAACCAAAGAACCACAAGTTGGCATCCCACCAAGGACTCAATGTAGGCACGACCAATCTGAGTGCTTCTTGGAGACAACGTATTCTATTCGAATCCAGCCACTCAGGAGGTTTGAAGGATGGTGACGCCAGATGGGTGGACACCAGATGAACCCACCACGACGGCTGCCGAAGATATTGTCAGCCAAAAGCTCCTACGTTCAGCGAGTATACTCCGCACCTTCATTTACGAGAGATTTTTGAGACCTGGTCACAGCTGCACGAACTCGTCGGGGAAGTGCGAAGCGAAAGAACCGCCTAGTACCGTCAGTCCAATTTAGTCCAATAGGCGCGTTCAGCACTGACAGCGGACTACGTTCTCTTGGCTTAAACTCTGTAATGCCATACAACGCCAAAGTGCTAGGAAGTAGAGCCCACATATCAAAGAGGGCATGCTGCTGAGGGACGAGAAAGTTGGAGGCGGAAATGCCCAGGCACGTGCTCGTGTGTAAATGAAAATGCACGCACTCACCTCGTGGCGTGATTGGGTCTATCCTGGCATCCGAGCGCTCCCCTTTCTTTCCCTGCCTCTCATACCTCCTTCTTGCGCTCATCATTGACCACTCAGAATGAGTGGAGCACACATTTTTCCAAATTCTCACAACATTGCTGTTAGCGGCGGTACGTTCTATGCAGCTGATACTGTGAGTGGAATAGCTAGATGCCTGCCAGGAAGCTTGATTGCATTGATCTCTGGCAGATGTACATCCACAACATCCACACCAGCAATAGAACAACATCTGATGGAGTAATTCCCCTCATGCCAAACCCCAGCAAACGGTTCACAGGCCGTACAGAAGTCATCACCAAACTCAAGAAGCATTTTTCTTTTGATGCAAATGACTCAGATCAGAAGAGAAAGTTCTTCCTGTTACATGGAATGGGTGGTATTGGAAAGACTCAGATTTGCTTGAAGTTCATCGAGGAAATGTCTGACCAGTGAGTATCTTTTGAACACCACTTCAATCACTCTTCAAGGTTTGAATTCAATTACCTTCAGTTTTTCTACTGTTTTCTGGATAGATGCATCCTCAGTTGGCACAATCACACAGGGACTCAAGGGTATCTGTAAGCTTCCTGCAGCCCGGTCTAGTGGACTAGATGGCTCACATGAATCTGCTCTTTACTGGATTGGCTTACTGAAGGAGAACTACATAATGGTCTTTGACAATGCTGATGTTCTATCTCATGCTGAGCTGGAGGCTTATCTTCCACCTGGAAGGGGGGGAAACATTCTGATAACTAGTCGCAACTCCACCATGAGAATTCTGACGTCACCTGAGAATTCTCTTGAAATAACTGAGATGGAGGAAAATGATGCCATTGTATTACTTCTAAGAGCCAGTTGCTTGGATCCATTTCTAATGGAATTTCAAACTGATGCTTCTAAGATTGTGAAGGAGCTCTTTTACCTTCCTCTTGCTATTGATCAGGCTGGTGCTTATATTGCTTCTGGGGCCACCACTATTGGAGACTACCTTGCAATATATTCAGAGCACCGAAAAACACTATTGTCTCATTCTGAATTTACTGGAGCTTCTAAGTATAACAGAACTGTGTATGGAACTTGGGAGCTATCATATAAAGAAATTCAGCAAAGGGCTGAATCTGAGGATTCTCACAAGGCCAATGCAGCCAATAGTGGAATGCTCATTCTGGGATTATTTTCTTTTTTCCATCATGAGGGAATCACTGAAGAGATATTTTCTTATGCTGCCCTCCTGGAAGATTGTAAAACTCCAATATCAAATATACCTCTTGCCAGTTCTCTGTTAGACCGAAGACTACTCCCTCTCTGTGAGAATGGTACTTGGGATAACTTCATTTTTAGAGAGGGGATTAGGATATTACTGTCTTTTGCCTTAATCAGAAGGGGCCCATCTAATAATGTGTATGTGATGCATCCACTGGTTCATACCTGGGGCAGGGATAGATTAAATCTGAATGAAAGGAAAGAATATTGCTTGATGGCTTATGTCATTTTGGCTTGCTCACTAAGATGGGATGCAGGCCAGCCATATGAATTTCAGAGGGGTTTGGTAACACATGTAAGAGCAAATATGGAGTATTTCAAACCAGAATGTAATCAGAATATTGCCACTTACATGGACGATGCTTATGCAAACTTTGGGAGACTGCTGAAGGAACAAGGATATTCAAGAGAAGCAGAAAAATTACAGATTGAAGTTGTAGATATGAGGATCAGAATGCTTGGAGTGGAACACCCAGACACAGTTCAGGCTATGGGAAATCTTGCATCAACATATTATAAATGTGGAAAATACAGAGAGGCAGAGAAGATGGACATTCAAGTTCTGGATAGAACAAACAGAATCTTTGGAGTGGAACACCCAAAGACAATTGTTGCCATGGGAAACCTAGCATCAGCATATCATAAACTTGCAAAATACACAGAGGCAGAAAAGCTGGAGATCCAGATCCTGGATGCAAGGAACAAAATTCTGGATGCCAGGATCAGAATTCTTGGAGTGGAGCATCTAGATACAATAAGAGCCATGGCAAATCTAGCAGTAACATATGGACATCTTGGAAAGTACACAGAGGCAGAGAAGCTGAAGATACAAGTTCTTGACACAGCAAACAGAATTCTTGGAGTGGAACACCCAGACACAATCCATGCCATGGGAAGTCTATCATCAACATATTCTAAATTAGGAAGATACAGAGAGGCAGAGAAGCTTAAGACCCAGATTCTGAAAGCAAGGACAAGAATTCTTGGAGTAGAACACCCAGACACAATCCATGCCATGGAGAGTCTAGCAGTAACATGTGGATGCCTGGAAAAGTATGCAGAGGCAGAGAAGCTCGAGATGCAAGTTCTGGATGTGAGGACCAGAACTTTTGGAGTGGAACACCCAGACACAATCCACATCATGGGGAATCTAGCAGTAACATTTAGGTGCCTGGGAAAATACACAGAGGCAGAGACACTGCAGATCCAAGTTCTGGATGCAAGAAACAGAATTTTTGGAGTGGAAAATTCAGACACCATTCTAGCCATGAAACATTTAGCAGCAATATATGGAAACACAGGAAAATACACAGAGGCAGAGAAGCTGGAGATCCAAGTAATGAATGCAAGGACCAGGATTCTTGGAGTGGAACACCCAGACACAATCCATGCCAAGGGAAATCTAGCATCAACTTATTATAAACTAGGAAAATACACAGAGGCAGAGAAGCTGCAGATCCAAGTTCTGGATGCAAGAAAAAGAATTATCGGAGTGGAACACCCCCACACCATCCAAGCTATGGAAAATTAGCATTAACCTTTAAAAATCTGGGCAGATACACAGATGCTGAGAAGCTAGTCATCCTAGCTCAGGACATAAAAAGCAGAGTACCTGCAGCAAATTTCTCCTATACAATTGCCACTATGGCCAATGTCCAAAAAGCACAGGAGACCCATTTCCCAGTGCAAGGAGCCTAGTCTCTGTAGAAGAAAATTTGCTTTCAATACAGATTGTTTTGATTCCTTCAACTCAAGATGTTCCTGCAGATATGATAATTAATTTTGAGCAAAAGGTACATTGTTGTTTCAACCTCCTCTGATGGTTTCCTTTTCAGTCCAATCTTTTTCCAAACTTGCATATAGAATCTAAATCCAAAAAAAAAAATCATTCCAGAATCCACAATGAGAAAGATTGGGAAAGCCAAGGAAATAAGGGAAATATGTTTATTGTTTTCATGTTAATGTCTTATGGCATGATAAAAGTGGGTTTGTAGTAAAAGAATATGAGAAACATTGGGGCATGGTAGAGTAACAAGATGTAAATCAGAAGTAGGAGTACCATTTATAAAAGGTATATAAAAAATCATCAAGGCTCAGTTTGAATGGGTATTTAGAACCAATTTGAATTTTGCAAGATAGTGTTTGAAAAAAACTGGGATTAGAGGGCCTACCCCCAGCATGCCATGTTGTAGGAGCAGCCAAGTGAAATAGGGAGTGAACTTGGCACATACAGATATTAGAATTCAAAACCAGCCTTATAAAAGTTTCTTACTGTGAAGCCAATGTGAAGCACAGTTTATAATATATGTAGATGTAGCATTAATTTACACCAACATATATAGATTAGAATTAACAATGTACATGGGGGTTGGGATGAAAAATGTGTACTGAAACTGGAATTGAAGATGTGTTCCAGGGGGTCAAGGGGCTTGCTCCCGGCGAGCCGTAACCCGCAGTGAAGGAATGGCTGAGCGCCAACGAGCGCCGTGCCTAGGCGCGGGTTTTAGGCTTGTATGAAAAGCTATAAAACCGAGTAGACCTCGATTTCTAGATGGTCGTGTCATGTGCAAGAAAAATATATGTTTGCGGAGTGTAAAAGCTTCAAACGAAATGCAAAATTGGGGAAAGGAGACAGAGCACCACAGATTTTTTTTTTTTCCAACTTTATATGATCTGGTAGATATTTCGTCATACGGGGAATGTGGTGGACAATAATATATAGATCGAGACAAGTTCAAGTGATGAACGAAAAAAGAAAAAACGAGAGGGCTGCGACCGGGATTCGTGACTGGGAAGGGAAGAGAGTAACTAATAAGAAGAAATAAAAGAAACGGACGTGCACGACATTGCAACTGTCAATTTAGCGAAAATGGGGGGTCAAAAGCAACGTTGACTCACAAAGCACATATACTGGATGAAACATGAGCTGAAGTCGAAGTTGGGCTGCGAAGATAATTCATTTTAATAAACAGCATCGTGTTAAAATAAAACCATGTGAAACGAAGGTGTCCTCACCAGAGTCAAAGTGCCCCACACTGAGTACCCAGTTCAACAACAGAAACAACCAACCGCTGCTTCACCGTTGTCAGCGGTGCCACGTCTGGTGAGACGATGCTCGGGACCTTCGAGGAAGCCCCCAACAATCATCCAGGTGTGCAAGCACACATCTGCCTGCCCACGCATCCATGAAGAAGCGACTTTCCACACCCGGGTAACACCAGTACCCAGGATGCTTTAGGACATGTGTGGCATGGGGAGTGGTTGTTCTGCGAATGAAAGGGTACCCGCTAATTGCATCTGTGAAGGTATGAGCTGGTGGCCCCGAAGGATGCGTGTTAGGTGGTTGACAAAACAATAATATGAATAGAGTTTACAATAAGCGCATGAGCCCGCCCAGTTAAAAACGCCACGCCCAGAAAGAAAATCGCCGTCGTATAGACGCTGCTGGACATAAACGGTAAGGCAACGGAGTGAAGTCGATAGTTATATTGGACTCACCCATATTTGAATGCACCGCGTGTTGACGAGGCCAAACCTGCCACAAGAAAGAAAAAGCCACTTATGCACCATGTTGAAACCAAGTCAACCTTCATCCAGCGTCAGTCCTGGCAGATGGTGTGTCACTCCGGCCCCCCTGACAGGAGGGGCCATGCCAACACGCCAATACCTGGATTGATTACACATCCAGGCAAGGCATGCGGCTACTTTACCATGCTTAGGCTTGAGGCCACCACGCAATAGGAGATGTGACCGTGGCGATATCTGACTTGTAAACGGAAATGGATGGCTCGCCTAGATGGTAATGCGGTGGTAATGCGCTGTCCAAGGAAGCGATGATGTTGCGGCGACGAGATTACATAGAGACTATCAAGATCGCATAGCGTTAGGCGTGAGTGGCTGACATAAAGAATTAGCTTGTGTGGCTTACTAGGCGTGAGTGGTGGCATGAAGAGGCAAACATCAGAGAGAGGCTGTGATGCACTGAGGGCTTGTATGTCCAAGTAAGCGATGATATTGCGGTGGCAAGGTTACATAGAGACTACTGAAATCGCATAGCGTTAGGCGTGAGCAACATAGAATTAGCTTGTCTGGAAGCTAGCGAGATAGTTGTGGCTTACTAGGCGTGAGCAGCAGCATGAGGAGGCGAACATCGGAAAGGCGAGATAAATAGAAAAGTTAAGGGTACTTACCAGTGTTCGCTAGAGGAAGGCGATACAATCTAGGCGTGATCAGTCAGGGGTGATGGTGGTGCTGGTGGTGGTGGTGGTTTGAATCTGAGCAACGAAATGAGAGCCTCTACAAATTATTTATAGTCACGTGTGTTTGGTAGAGTTTTGGTAGCCAAATACACCCCTTCTCTTTGCATTGGGCATCCGGAAAGAAGACTCACCAACTTATAAAACCAAGCTTGGGTGCGCCGCTTGAATGCCATTGTATCGCATATTTCTGATTATGGATAGGAGAACTTGGACTGGCGGTGCGCGTGCCTGCCAAATGTTGGGTGGTCATTGAGTGGTCAAAAGAGTGCTACTATCAGTGAAAAGAGTGTCATCGACGATAGCCGCGGTTAAGGCACAAGGAGAAAGCACCCACCGTCAAGCGCCCACCTGCTGTTGCAACCTACGACCTCACGATGGCCAAGCACGTAAAGTTGAGAACACCGCTGGCCAAGCTTTTCTGGATGGGCAGGGAGGAACTGAACCAGTAAGTTCTGTGTCAGTCTCGGCACTTTTGGTCTTGAATGATAGATTAGGTATCTCAAACGAAAAGCGAACACCGTAATAGTGCGTACTCTTTGTCATATACATCGTCTATCTCACATAATGCATGCAGTATACTATCGGTTATATACCAAAGAAGGCCGACTCGAATCAAACAACCCGATCTTCTCTAATGATCGCTTCATCAGTCATATCTTGTCGAAATCAGTGAGACCCCCTCACACAGCAGCCTCGCTGAAGAGGTACGTCTGCAAGATTGAAGGCATGGAAGGCTCGGGAAAGGGCGCTTTCAAGTATCTGTTGCTGTCAGAAAAAAAGCCTTTGGACGATTCTGCTCGTCTTGCACTCCGAGAGAACTCTGGGCCAGGATCATCTGAGGTTGACCCTGTAGTTCTCGTTGTTGATAAGGGCCCTGCCGCTGAGAAGAAACTCAAATCTGCTAGTAATGCAGGCTCGAATAGATTGTCCGTATGGAAGATTGAACAATGTTTTGGTGCGCCTTGTGGTTTTGGTCTCAACAACGCAAAAACTCATGCTCATCAGTGCATTACCGACTTTACGACGATGATGGCAAAGCTGTCTCGAAAATGTCGTTTGACGAGAGCAACTCTTCTTTGGGTCGCATTGACATATTTACCATCCCGCCACCGCAAACAGTTGCTTCCTTGAAAGATCATCTTGCCCATGTAGAAGGGGTCTCAGGTCACCATGTTCAGTTGCTTGAGAACGAGGATGGAGAGGTCACCTTGAGCGATGGCGATGCCATCGCCCTTCTCACTGATGATTTTCCGGGCTCAAAAGAGGGTCAGCCGATAGTGTTCACATATGCACAGAGTGCTTCTGATAAAATGGAGAACCCATCCTTTTCAAAGCGTCTTACAGGCATATCAAACTGGGGTAAGTGGGAATTGTTATTGAGGAATACCGTGTAGCCTCTCATGTTGTTTAGCCGGCGCGACTGTGGATGCCACCTGGCACTCAATAGTGATTGGAGAGATCTTCCAAACAGACGGACTTCACGAGATAAAGCCATTCCAATCTGGTTCTCATCGCTATGGTGTTTCTGTCTGACTTTGGAATTTTTTTCTTTATTAATCTTTCCGTAGTAGATTTCCCTTGCTATGTCAGAATAAATAGTTCCGGAAATAAAGCTTGTACACTCACTGATCAAAAGTAATGTCACATGATTTTTTGGACAAAGTTGGTGTTATAACACAAGAACCAAACATTTTAAGGATTAAACTCTGGTGCATGAAACATAGCTAAGGAGGTGTAGATTGTATATACCAAGTCTGGGGATGAACAGATAAAAACTCAGGATACAGCAGGGCATTGACTGTGATAACTCCCAAAAATGGGATGTGACAAAATGGGAAATTCTAAATGGCTGCAACCTACTGGAAGCAATTCACAACTTGAGGAAGAGATATTTTGAACACTGGATCTCCCTGCTATTGTTATGAGCTTCATTAAGTCTTTGGGCTAGAAAATTTTATATCCTCCCCTAAAAGGTAAATTTGAACTTGATCTCAATTTATATACTTTTCACTCAATATACTTGTTGGAATGAGATAAAATGACTCCTCATTAATGTTGGTAGTGTGTATAATATAAAAGGTAGGTAGAAATGTTAAAATGAACATTGCATAATGTCTTTAGAAGCTAATTTCCAGAGTTTTTCTGGAAGTAAACAAGTATCTACAGCATTGGTCCTTCTTTTCTGCAAGAAGAAAAAATGCTACCATCCTTTTGAGTTGATTGATGGAGACTTGGGATGTCTTTTAAACAATGCCTGAAGTATAGCATGATAGCAAATAGATTGTCACTGGGTATAACTTGAAAAGTCCCCAATAAAGTACATTTTGCATC